TGGATGTACATAGTATTTTTGTTCAATATAAGTTTTCCTTAAATTATCATATCTACAACATACAAGTAAAAAGTGAAATTCATCTTCGACAACATTTAAAGAACATTGTTTACATAATCTTAAACATTTGGGTATTTTGTTGTGCCTGCCAACTTCAACCATTAACCCGTGTGAGCTGCATCTAAATTGTGTTAATGATATTCTGCATTTTCTTATATTTACATCAGTTAAATATTTTTCTGCGCATATTTGCATTTTAAAATATCTATAATATTCGTATTTGCTAGAAACATCTACAGTAGATCTCCATGTTTGATAGTACATGTCAAAAAGCGTCTGCCTTATTTTCGATATGAACATGGCATGATTCTCTAAGAAACATTGGTTTTCCCAGATGTAACCATACCCACATTTATACAGTAGACATTTAACATTGTATGCCCAATTTTGATCTCCATTCTTTTCATACAATAGCATCATATTATAACATTTTTTTGGCAATCTACTTACTGGCATTTTTGGTAATTTTAACCAGTATCTTATGATTTTTAAGTAGTGATATATATACAAGGGTATGCGACCACATTCACCATAAACCATTATGTTAGACGTACTATGTTTAACACCAAGAAATCTTTTGCATGCGTATAAATGTACGGATTCAATTTCTTTAGCCTCTGCAAAACTCCATATTTCTGAACCATAGGAAAGAATAGGAGCTATTTTTGTGTCAAAGATTTTGAAGAAAGATTTATAAGCACACTCGCTAAATGTTCAAACGTTTGTAAAATGCCCAATAGCATCTTTTTAGCTTGGATTGCTGCATTACATATATGTCGGTTCCATGATAATTTACTTGAAAATATTACACCAAGATATTTATGTGAGGTTTCAGTTTGGAGTAATTGTCCCCGAAAGTACCACTTTTAATTTTTTGACAGCGTATTTCCTTTGCTAAATACAACAATTTTTGTCTTATCTAGATTAACATTAAGTTTCCACGTATCACAGTACAATTCTAGCTGATTTATCAAAGTTTGTAAACCTTTTACAGTACTCGAGAACATGATTATATCATCTGCAAATAGTAACATAAATATTTTTATAAGTTCAGGATGTAATTGTATACCATCATCATAATTTCTTTTGATTTGGGCTGCAAGCTCATTAATAAAAAAACAGAACAAAAAAGGGCTTAATACACATCCTTGGCGTACACCAGTATGACATATAAAAGAATCTGAATACATGCCATTTTGTTTAACACATGATTTAACTTCCTTATAAATACCACATTACAATTTACCCATTTTATTACTGACACCATGTGAATTAAATAGATACCATAACTTATCTCTACAGACTGAATCAAATGCTTTCGAAAAATCTACAATATAGCATACAATTTTCCACGTTTACGTTGAATATACTTATCTATAAGAGCCCGGAGAATAAACATATTATCAGTGGTTGAGTAACCTTGTCGAAAACCTGCTTGCACTTCCTCAATCTTATCAAGTGCTTCCGACCACAATACCAAGCGTTTATTAATAATGCTAAGAAATATCTTACTGAATATACTGGTAAGTGTAATCCCCCTATAATTTTCAACATCAGTCACTGAGCCTTTTTGTGAATTGGAACGATAGTTCCAAGTGTCCAACCTTTTGGAAAGTAAGAGGTATCCATTATTGTATTGAATAATATTTCCAAATACGACAGGGTATTATCAAGAGAGTATTTAAAGAATTCTGTTATAAGTTTATCAAATCACGGGCTTTTCAAGTTTTTCAGATTTTGAATAACAGATTTAATTTCTTCTTTTGAGATTGGGGAATCTAATATTTCCGTTGCAAAATTGGTTTCATCATTATCAAAAGAGTTCAACTGGAAGTTATTTGTGGAATCATCACCGCTGAAAAGAATTTTGAAGTAATTAAACCACTCATGCATTTCTATGTTACTTTTAGTTTCCTTCTTTTTGCTGATGTTTTTCAAGGTCGTCCAAAACTGTTTTGATGAGCTGATACTTTCTTCTAGTTTTTCTCTGCTTCTAGCCATGAAATTTTGTTTCTTTTTTCTGCAAGTAACTTTATACTTATTTTTCGAATCAGTGTACTTAGCAAGTGAGTCTTTATCCTTTAATTTTCTGAAATGGTTTAAAAGAGTGCATCTTTCCTTCTTTAACAACTCACATTCCCAGTCAAACCACTGTTTACTTTCTCTGTTAGGGGTTACAGTATTTATACCAATTGGTGAGGTGCAGTGCAAAGTTAAATTCTGTTAAGTGGATTTTCTAAAATAAATATGACTTTTTTACATGTTTTGAACTTAGAAATATGTTGGCTTCAAAGTTGGGGCTATTAGTGAGCCCTGCTCACTTTGTGTCTTTTTTTTTATTGTAACTTTTTAAAATTATTTAACATATGGTAATCCTGTTTCCTGATGTAATTGTCTTTTGAAGTAAATGTGTCCCATTTCAGAACGTAACCTAACAACATGTCTCCATTGCTCGCATTTTGGTAAACCCTACACTAACACCTGGATCCTTTCCCGTGGTTCTTGCAATCTCAAATTACCCCCTCTTAAGTTCCATTTGCCAATTTGATCGGCTACGCTTCTAGGTCTAAGGTACCAATCAGAATGGGAGTTACAAACCAGCCTCAATGCTGTTTGGTCAGTTCCATTGATTATGATCGAGGTTGTGAGAAATTCAGCATGGAAAAACTAACAGACACACAAAAGAAAGCACTAAAAATCTTTTTCATGGAAAGGATGTTCATGTCCAATGAAACTGGCAGTGGTTTTGGTTACCAGGTAATAGGAGTAACCTCCCTTAATTTTTCCCTTTCCCTAATGTCGATGTTTGATTGGTCAGTAAATTGTACATGATAATCAGGGGCGGGTAATTTTTGTGATTACAAGAACCAAAGGAATGGATCCAGGCGATGATGTAGGTCTACCCAAATGCAAGCCCTGGAGATATAGAGGATGCAATGAATACAAAATGTACACAATCTTATTGATAGTCCTACCCACATTGTCGTCTACTGGGAGCACATATTGAGCACATTTCCAGCTATGCCAGAATTTATGTGATCGTACATTCAGCTCGTGAGATCTCTTTCTTGGCCTTCTGTGGTTGTATTGGCTTTGTACTGATCTTAAAAGCAGGTTTATTTTAACAATTCAACATGAAAAAAATCAGAGAATATCACTTGACACACCGACACATCTACCCTTAATGTACTAAGTTATCAAACACAGGGCCACTGCTGGCCATTGTGAACACAGTTCAATACACACAGCTACGTGCAGCAAAACACAAACATGTTGATAACAACTTGTCACATTGTATATACCATGCAGAAATAATAAAGGGAACAAACTCAAAGGGACCACTCATTTTAGTTTGTTATATCCGTGGTTTGTTATAAACATTTCGACTGTCAGACCTCTTGGATCCAGTCATGTGACCACATCATGTGACCACATCATGTCACCTGATAGATAACAAAAACGTGCATTGTATATGTATTATGCTTATTCATTTCATAAATGGCTTGCTGACTTGGTTGATGCATGGCATCGTATCCTAATTGCGTGGATCAGTGCTGATGTCAATCACTGGATTGTCTGGTCTAGACTCGATTATTTACAGATGTCGTCATATAGCCGGAATATTGCTGAGTGCGGCTTTAAACAACAAACAAACAAACAAAAATGCCATAAAATACACGACATAAGTAAGTGCATGTTAGTACTGATACAGTTTCATTGACATACAGATGCACACCTTCACATCAACACATATATACACCACACACACATAGACCAAGCAGTGTTCTAAACAAAGCATGAAAGTCAAGGGGCCTTTCCATAACCCTAATGTTAAAAGTTGTAGATTTAGGGGGACCTTGTCGTGTTGTTAAAGATTTACGATCCCTAGATTCAGTACCACAGGAGAAGACCTCGAGGATCCTGACTCCACACTTAATGTCAAACGCTGTCATACATACCCCACACATGCCCCACCAGACAATTTATTATGTTTTCAGATTCTATCATAATGAGGGTCCTAATGGGGTGTGCTGTTTGTCATAAAACAACTAAAAGAACTGTTAACATAAGAGGAGTCATGTATATCATAAAAGATTAATGTAATATGTCCATTAAAAAAATAATAAAGTTTTGATTTAACTGGACAACTTGTCTGCTATTTGTGCTTTCTTTTGGACTGGACTTGCCACAATTTCTTTCATGATGATTATGCACTTTGTCCTCTAATTCTTGAGAGATGGCAATAAATTAAAGTTAATGCATTCGCTCGTCATGCCGAAGACCTGTGTTTGATTCCCCACATGGGTACAATGTGTGAAGCCCATTTCTAGTGTTCCCTGCCGTAATATTACTGGGATATTGCTAGAAGCGGCTTAAAACCAAACTCACTCACTCACTCATTAAAATAATCAAAAAGTTCTTCCATTTCTGTTGATCATTACGACAATAGAAAAATAAAAAAATGATAATCCGTAAGATTAGAGTTATCCTCTTTCATCTTATTTTAATGACTGTTGTCACTCTAACAAATGTGTTTTTATTGGTTGTAATTTGAAGTTTAACCAATCACAAGCTGTGTTACTTAACAAACTTTGACTATCCATTACCATTGTGGAACAAAAAAATAAGCTGTCGCAACAACCATAGTCACCATATGTGGCAAGCATGGGTTGCTGCAGACCTATTCTATCCCGTATCTTCACGGGTCGGACGTTAATCAGGGTTAGAAATTGGCACTAGTCCTATAGTCCTTGCCAAACTGCCCAATAGTAAAGGTATCCTAAGGACTAGTAGAAATTTGCCATTTTTAAAGGTTTTGCTATATGTTATCATTATAAGGACTAGTGGACTGAAACTGTTAGTTTCTACCGCTGTTAATGATATGCATCTACACAAAATTATTGGTATAAATACTCATGAATTTGTTTTGCCTGTTCCAGATTCATTGACAAGAACCAGGACAAGTATGTCCAGAGACTGAAGGATGTGGTCGCCATTCAAAGTGTTTCCGCCTGGCCCGAGAAACGAGGGGAGATCCGCAAAATGGTGGAATGGACAAAAACTGTGAGTTCTTACAAAACATTTGTGGAAATTATGCCAAATTACTTACCGTATTAGACGTATTAAGTGCCCACGGCGATATTTGCTAATATATTGGCTTTTAAAAAATACCATTTAGCACCCCTTCCGATTGATCAATGTACACAAGACTTATATATTCGCGTATAATACGCACTCGTGTGTTATATGCATTCTTAATTATGGGCAATTAAATTCTGGAAAAATATATCTGTCGCATATAAACATATCAGTCTGTCAGCATAAACCACAAAATTTATCTTTCAACTCTGTTTTTTCCACCAAAATAATATTCTAATAAGAGCCCCCTATTTCTAATTTTGAGAGCACCCTGGGTGCTTACTACGTCAAATACGGTATTTTCTGAACCATGGTTTTACCTGGACTTATGAAAGTGGGGGTCCAGGGACCCAAAAAGTAATTCTAAGGGTCCTTGCAGTCAATATGAGGGTCCTGTAAAGTAATGAAATGATGTGGTGTCCTGTACAGTTTAGATAATTACTTTTGAGCCTGGAATGAGTCCATGATCATGTGGACAGTGGTCATGATTGATGAGTGAAATAACTGACACCCATATCGGCCCGCTGTAGGTACAGTGAATGTGATTGTGTTTCCCTTGGGAGGCATGCTTGCTGTAAGAGGCGACGTAACCCAATCGTGTGGATCGATGCTCACTGGATTGTCTGGTCCAGACTCGATTATTTACAGGCCACTGTCATGTAGCTGGCAATATGCTGAGTGTGGCGTTAAACAACAAACAAACAAACAAACGAAAAGCTAATGTTATGGCTTGTACAGCTGACTTGTATTTCACAGACCAGTTGGACGATAATAATGATATGTTCCCAAAATTGCAGAGTTTGGACTCCTGGCTAAATGCTAGTACGAGCTGCCTTTGTGGGGATTTGTTGGTCACACTGATGGCATATCACTCACTCACTCACTCACTCAACCACTCAACCACTCACTCACTCACTCACTCACTCACTCACTCACTCACTCACTCACTCACTCACTCACTCACTCACTCACTCACTCACTCACTCACTCATATTCCTGGTCTGTGATTGTTTTGTTCAGTATATATTTAGCCATTTACACAAGGTACAATATCCTGAAAATTTGTTCATTATGAAATCAATCCTTGTCGTAGCTGTATCTTTTATTACCATAAAGTGGAGAGTGTTAAAGAGGCAATAAATCAATGCGATGAGCTCGGGATCACGGTGTGAATAACCAATCAAATAAGGTCACCTGAACCACTTTCAGGAGACGAAAGTTTACTCGACCAGGAGTTCATTATTTTGCATTAGTTATACATTATTATAAGCTCCGGGGCTCCAGGGCTCCGGGGCTCCGGGGCTCCAGGGCTCCAGGGCTCCAGATGATGCTGTGAGCCATTGAGTATTTACTCACAAGTTCTCATTCCCACTGGGTATTGATAGGTTTCTTTGGGTGTTCAGTATTGTTTTTCTCCCTTGGATCAAGTACTTGGGTATTTTTACACCAAGGAGTAGACATTTGTTTTATTTGCTTAAATGCTGTTTCAGGTATCTAATTTGTGTCTGTTCATGGGTATGACATCGTCTGAACACACAACAGTGATGTACACTCCAATTGACAATAAGTGAGACCTAGCGCCTTGTTTATGCATTATTCACTGCAGAAGAGTTGTTATATCTGTTGATGATTACATTCAATTAGTAACTAAGGACTTGTAAAGACATACAGGCGCACAGGTTGATTAGTCGATGCATTGGTTATATACAGTGTCTTCAAATTAATTGGGTCATTGTGATTTGTTGTGCATATTCGCAGCTTATCTGGTGCTCAGAAGTTGAGGTTACCTCTGGCAAATATTTAATATCGCCGCCATGAAGTCGAAGGGGGATATTGGAATGGAGGCTGTCCTTCTGTCTTTCCCTCTGTCACGTTACGTTTTTGGAGCAGAACTCAAAAACCTGAGAGATCTCTTAACCAAACTTGGCACACACATAGGTCTAGTGGTGAACTGGTGCCTTTGGGGATTTTTGAAAAAATATTTTTCGAGCTTCTATGGCAACGACTGTGATTAGACTGGAAATGGTGGTAGTGCTCCTTTCCGGATCAGATCTTGAAAACCGTACAATAATTCTACACCGAACTTGGCACACAGATAGCTCTAGTGGTAAACTGGTGCCTTTTGGGAGTTTTGAAAACAATATTTTTTCGAGTTTCCACAGCAATGACTTTGACTTGCGGTAGTGCTTGTTTCCGGGGGGCTCATGCACACAACCGTACATTGGCAAGGGGTTATAAGTATTTCATGTTTGTTTCTTCTTAGTGTGGAGCAAGGTCATTGTTGTTCACAATCTTCGCTCATCCATATGTGTATTGAGGTGGTGGGTTTAGATTCAAGGTCTGCCCCACAAAGTTTGTAGGTAGTCCTTGTACTGAGTTGAAAAATGTCTTTTTGTTGTCAGCTATAATGTTTTCTTTCATTTTTTATATTAAAAATATATGTCTTTGGACTGTCATATTCCCAGCATTAAAGTCAACAAAATGGCTCAACGGATTTTTATCCTTTCATAAAAATGATTGTTATTCTGAATATGTCTTTTTGGCCAACTGCCAACATTATGGTTGCCTGCAGGAGCTAGAGAAACTTGGTGCCAAGTGTGAGTTGGAGGAACTTGGCGACCAGACCCTGCCTGACGGCTCAAAGATCCCGCTCCCCCCTGTCCTACTGGGGCAACTTGGTGAAGATCCTGCCAAGAAAACTATCCTGGTGTACGGCCATCTTGATGTCCAACCTGCAGAGAAGGTTCGTTTGTCTTCTTAATTACATGTCGACATGTCGGCCATCTTGATGTCCAACCTGCAGAGAAGGTTCGTTTTGTCTCCTTAATTACATGTCGACTGTGAAAACAAGATAGCATATGGTCCCCAGTGACATGTACCAAAAAAATACTACCTTGCGACATGTGAAATACAGAAGTCTTGCCATCTCCATAACACAGTCTCTCTCTCTCTCTCTCTCTCTCTCTCTTCCCTCTCTCCCTCTCCTCTCCCTCTCTCTCTTCTCTTCCCTCTCTCTCTTTTCTCTCTCTCTTCCCTCTCTCTCTCTCTCTCTTCCCTCTCCTCTCTCTCTTTTCTCTCTCTCTTCCCTCTCTCTCTCTCTCTTCCCTCTCTCTCTCTTCCTCTCTCTCTTTCTCTCTTCCCTCTCTCCCTCTCCTCTCTCTCTCTCTTCCCTCTCTCTCTTCCCTCTCCTCTCTCTCCCCCTCCCCTCGCTCTCGCTCGCTCTCTCTGTCTCTCTCTCTCTCTCTCTCTCCCTCTCTCTCTCTCTCTCCCCCTCCCCTCGCTCTCGCTCGCTCTATCTCTCTCTCTCTCTCTCTCTCTCTCTCTCTCTCTGTCTCTGTCTGTCTCTCTCTCTCTCTCTCCCCCTTGTGTGTTGATTGTAATGGAATGTGGAGGGCTGTGCTGCACTCAAATGCATTTTACATCTGACACAAGAGGCGGGTTAGTTTTTAGCCCTTACAGAAAATTTACTTCTTTAAGATGTTTTGACCAATCATTGTTGATTCATGTCTGTATGCAGGAAGATGGGTGGGACACAGAGCCCTTCGTCCTCACCGAGAAGGATGGCAAGCTGTACGGCAGGGGATCGACTGACGACAAGGTGAGGGGGGAGGGGGTCTACAGAGGGGTGTGGCATCACACAGACATTGTAAATACTCAGATGATGGCTCATGCTGTAACGAGGGGTGTGGCGTCACACGGACATTGCAAATATGGTGATGGTTTGTTTTTAAGGAGAAATTGTCTTTTGTAGATGAATGAGACGTTTTATAGTTGTTCATGTGATTAGAGAGAATGTACAAATGTTTCTTATGCGTCCAAAAACCTACTACATGGGTATATGTCTCCCTAGGGCCCCGTGCTGGACTGGCTCAACTGTATCGAGGCCATGCAGGAGCTCAAGATGGAGGTCCCGGTCAACATGAAGGTGAGGATACGCCAGGTCCGCAGTGATGGGATGGGATGGATGATACTGCTTGTCACTGAATCATCCAATCATCCGTGCTTGTGATCCGAGATGACAAATGGATTGTCAGTTTGTGATATGGATGATTTATCTCGGATTGCATGGCAGGCCAATTTGAAAAATATACATGATTTTGTGAAAAATTGGAATTTATTATAAAGATATTTTTTTTAAGATTCACAGATATTAAACAAAGCCTGGAATTCAATAATGTAATTAAATAATTAAAACTTAGCATTATAGCGATGCCCTCTTTATTGATCCTGTTGTCAGGAAAGTACGAGACTCGTGAAGATCCGGGGTAGAATAGGTCTTCAGCAACCTATGCTTGCTGTAAAAGGCGACTATGCTTGTCGTAAGAGGCGACTGACAGGATCGGCTGGTCAGGCTCACTGACTTGGTTGATGCATGTCATCGTATCCCAATTGCGCGGAATGATGTCATGGTGTCAATCACTGGATTGTCCGGTCCAGACTTGATTCTTTACAGATTGCCATCATATTGCTGGAATATTGCTGTGTACGGCGTTAAACAACAAACAAACAAACAAAACAAACAGTGAAGTACGAGTCACTTCTACTGTATAAGCATGAAACTTTTAGTACCAGTACTAATTTGCGAATATTTATGTTGCTTCGGACTTTTGAGGGGAGGGGGCTGAATATTTGCAGATCTAGATAAATCCATAGTCATCCTTTGGAGTAAGTGTAAGAGTGAACATTATCCAACACTATTTTGTAGTGTCAGGATGATTCTCCCTAGTGAATTTGAACCCACACGAGTGTGTTTAATCCTATCCTATACTATACTCTAGAGTAAAACTTGCCCTGGGATAATAGTTAGGTAGGATATAATCCTTGCCTCATAAGTACTACACAAATGTAGAGATGTAATAGAGGTAGTATTCTCAGAATTATTAACAATGATAACTATTGTTTGATATCTAGTGATTTATATAGGAATTCTGAAAGTGTAACAGGCAAATTGGAATAACATCATTTTGTCTGAAATTTGTATTTTTGTGGACTTTGCATACACTTCTTCAGTTTGCAGTTATTTTAAGGTTAGCAATTTTCTCATGATCAGTGAAATACATGACATCTTTGTGAAGCCAAAATGTTTGTTACCGTTATAAAAAGTTGGTAAACTTCACTGATGCGATTGTTCCTTTATGTTTGATCTTTCTCGTGTCAGTTCTGTTTTGAGGGGATGGAAGAGTCTGGTTCCGAGGGTTTGGACGAGCTCGTCTTCTCGAAGAAGGATACATTCCTCAAGGTAGGATCAGCAGGGGGACTTACAGAACATGGGGAAATTAATTTCAGATGTTTTTATGGTTTTGAAACTGTTTGTTGAGCAAAAATGTAAGACCAACTAATCTAAAAACTGAAATGAAAATGATATTAAGGAATATCCAAAATAACAAACAAACAAAAACCAATGAAAATTCAGCCTGTTATGCACAATAACACAGCACAACATGCACAATCTACTGTTCCGTCACACATTTGACACGTGCAGGTTGCACAATGAACTACAAACAATGCTTACAAACATTCAGTTATTGTACAATATAATATCACCCTGTTATGGCAACCTTGACCGGAATACTGTTAAAAGCAGCGTTAAACCCAACTCACTCACTCACCATCCAGGGTCCTTCACCAAGCTTCGTCCCCAGTCCATCCCTAACTCACTTTGTCCCTGTTCCTCAAAATGAATATCGGAACTCCCATGCTTTAACATAGGCTTATGGTGGTCGTAGCGCTAAGATTATCGTAACTACCATACTTTAACATAGGCTTATGGTGGTTGTAGCGCTTAGATGATCGTAACTCCCATACTTTAACATAGGCTTATGGTGGTCGTAGCGCTAAGATGATTGAACTACCATACTTTAACATAGGCTTATGGTGGTTGTAGCGCTAAGATGATCGCAACTACCATACTTTAACATAGGCTCATGGTGGTCATAATGCTAAGACGATTGAACTACCATACTTTAACATAGGCTCATGGTGGTCATAGCACAAAGATGATCGTAACTACCATACTTTAACATAGGCTCATGGTGGTCATAGCGCAAAGATGTTTGAACTACCATACTTTAACATAGGCTCATGGTGGTCATAGCGCAAAGAGGATTGAACTACCATACTTTAACATAGGCTCATGGTGGTCATAGCACAAAGATGATCGTAACTACCATACTTTAACATAGGCTCATGGTGGTCATAGCACAAAGATGATCGTAACTACCATACTTTAACATAGGCTCATGGTGGTCATAGCACAAAGATGATCGTAACTACCATACTTTAACATAGGCTCATGGTGGTCATAGCACAAAGATGATCGTAACTACCATACTTTAACATAGGCTCATGGTGGTCATAGCACAAAGATGATTGAACTACCATACTTTAACATAGGCTCATGGTGGTCATAGCGCAAAGATGATTGAACTACCATACTTTAACATAGGCTCATGGTGGTCATAGCGCAAAGATGATCGTAACTACCATACTTTAACATAGGCTCATGGTGGTCATAGCGCAAAGATGTTTGAACTACCATACTTTAACATAGGCTCATGGTGGTCATAGCGCAAAGAGGATTGAACTACCATACTTTAACATAGGCTCATGGTGGTCATAGCACAAAGATGATCGTAACTACCATACTTTAACATAGGCTCATGGTGGTCATAGCACAAAGATGATCGTAACTACCATACTTTAACATAGGCTCATGGTGGTCATAGCGCAAAGATGATCGTAACTACCATACTTTAACATAGGCTCATGGTGGTCATAGCACAAAGATGATTGAACTACCATACTTTAACATAGGCTCATGGTGGTCATAGCACAAAGATGATCGTAACTACCATACTTTAACATAGGCTCATGGTGGTCATAGCACAAAGATGATTGAACTACCATACTTTAACATAGGCTCATGGTGGTCATAGCGCAAAGATGATCGTAACTACCATACTTTAACATAGGCTCATGGTGGTCATAGCGCAAAGATGTTTGAACTACCATACTTTAACATAGGCTCATGGTGGTCATAGCACAAAGATGATTGAACTACCATACTTTAACATAGGCCTACAACAGTCGTAGTGCTGAGATGATTGTAACTCCCATACCTACAACAGTCGTAGTGCCGAGATGATCGTAACTACCATACCTTAACATAGGCCTACAACAGTCGTAGTGCCGAGATGATCGTAACTACCATACCTTAACATAGGCCTACAACAGTCGTAGTGCCGAGATGATCGTAACTACCATACCTTAACATAGGCCTACAACAGTCGTAGTGCCGAGATGATCGTAACTACCATACCTTAACATAGGCCTACAACAGTCGTAGTGCCGAGATGATCGTAACTACCATACCTTAACATAGGCCTACAACAGTCGTAGTGCCGAGATGATCGTAACTCCCATACCTTAACATAGGCCTACAACAGTCGTGGTGCCGAGATGATCGTAACTCCCATACCTTAACATAGGCCTACAACAGTCGTAGTGCCGAGATGATCGTAACTCCCATATCTTAACATAGGCCTACAACAGTCGTAGTGCCGAGATGATTGTAACTCCCATACCTTAACATCCTAGTGTTAGATATCTTGGAACCGGACCCTGGTGATGTTTCGTCTCAAAACTGCGTTACATCTCACTCACTCATTCCTCATTCTTCTTTACAGGGCACCGACTACGTGTGTATCTCGGACAACTACTGGCTGGGGAAGACGAGGCCGTGCATCACATACGGTCTCAGGTCAGTGTCGGCCCACATCAAAACTTCCCGATACTTTAATACCATCCCAGTAACAGTCATAAGTCCCACATGTGGCCTGGGGATAACAACTTCTTTATGTACTGTAAAGTGACCTTTCAGTATAGATCCTTATACCGTTGTCAAGCAAGACAGTCTTGCTTGACATGCTGAAAATGCTGGGGTCAATTGTTCTACCCACTCGGGTCAAACTAGGCATCATTGACCACTCCAATCAGTGAACTGTTGTTGGTTTAGTTATTTTATTGCCTTTGAACTTCCTTAAAGCCAGTCAACAGAATAAACATATAAGCTGTATGTTGTGTTTAGGAAAACACTGTTTATTGTTTTTACGGAAGTGCTCTACTAAGTGCCAGTAAGTACTGTTGGATTGGATTAAGGTAAGGTTATGTATCATTCCACTGGGGATGGGCTGGGGGAGTCGCATTGATTTTGAGTCGCATTTTTGGCTAGGGGTCAGCAGTCGTATTAATTTGGAGACCCATTTATTTCAAGATTTACAGTATATGTAACTATGCTTTCCTGAGCTCACAGAACTGTATGTGTATTGGCTGAAAAGATTACACCTTAAAAAGTAACGGTATGACTCTTCAGTGGTAGAAACTGACAGTTTTTGTCCACTAGTCCTTATCATGAATACTTAGAAAAACCCTTAAAAATGGCAAATTTCTACTAGTCCTGATGATACCTTAACTATTGGGCAGTTTGACAAGGACTCCAGGACTGGTGCCAATTTCTACAGCTGCTCTAACAGTATGACTCATGCCTAATGGTGACTTTTGGTGTTTTTGTTGGTCTGAACAGCAGATTTCAAGATGGTTATTTGAATGTTTCTTCTTTAATGTTCCCAGAGGTATCTGTTATTTCTTCCTGGAGGTGGAGTGTGCGTCCAAGGATCTCCATTCTGGTGTCTTCGGAGGAACAGTGTAAGTTATTATGTGTTGATTTAGACAGAGGATGAAGATATGGTTTAAAGTCGTTGCTGTGAAATCAAAATCCAATGGTCATGATGACTGTTTAAAGATGTAAGGAGCAGATAAGACCAACTTTCAGCCATGATTTGGGGTTTGCTCACACATGAGTAAAGTGTCGCTGCTGATCTCTCAGACTCTCTCGTGATTGGTCAACAGGTCACGGATCATACAGGCCTTAAATAGATCTGACTGAAAATGTCCTGAAATTTAGGTTCTGGCTTGAACAGGCTTTGAAAATGGATCATGTGCCTTGAAAAGCCCTTACACTCTCCTAATCGCCATCTAAAGTGAATTGCCTGGAATAATTTTATCTTGCTTTGAAATTTGTACCCCGATGGTGTGGATTGCTGTTCGCAATACATGTCTCAAGCAAACAAGAATTCTTAGTTTGAAATATTTTTCCCAGGAGAAATATTGTACAACTTTCTAAGAATATAATTTGCAAGTTAGTAACCACAGAGTTATTCCCTTCCTATGATTTGCTGCTTCAGCTGTGAGTGAGTGAGTGAGTGAGTGAGTGAGTGAGTATGGTTTTACGCCGCCTTTCACACATTTGACCCATATCGGGAATCAGACCAGGTTTGTGAGCATCATTCCCATGTTGGCGTGCTGTAGTGGTCTGATGATCATGGGTTTGAATCCCAGACTTGTCTTGATTATGACCCTTGGTTTGTGAGCATAATTCCCATGTTGGCGTGCTGTAGTGGTCTGATGATCATGGGTTTGAATCCCAGACTTGTCTTGATTATGACCCTTGGTTTGTGAGCACAATTCCCATGTTGGTGTGCTCTAGTGGTCTGATGATCATGGGTTTGAATCCCAGAATTGTCTTGATTATGACCCTTGGCTTGTAAGCACCATTCCCATGCTGGTGTGCTGTAGTGGTCTGATGATCATGGGTTTGAATCCAAGACTTGTCTTGATTATGACCCTTGGTTTGTGAGCATCATTCCCATGTTGGCGTGCTGTAGTGGCAGACCTCTAAGACCTGTGCCACTTTGGGTTTTCATCCCACAGGAGGCTGGTATATCTGTCATTATAGCTAAAATGGATAGAATTATCATTAAACCGCCCGCATGTTATCAGAAATCGGCGGGCCACTGTAACTTGATAATGCCCTCATATTACTTTACGACGGGCCATTATCATGCCCGTTGTTAGGTGACGTCATAGGGTAGGGGTAGTGAAGTCACGTTTAATAGTGACGTCATCTAGTTTGTTCTATGACGTTTCCATGTTTGTAAAAGTGGGTCAGTGACATTCGTGTTGATTGCAGTAAATGTTTCAAAACCTATATTGTTGTTTCCTTTTATTTGATGACAAATTCCATCCATTTTAGCTATAATAACGGTAACGCTATTTTATAGGGCATTATCATTTGCAGAAGCCCCCGGCCTTTTCAACTGCCCTCCTTCGTCGGGCAGTTAATGGAAAACCTCGGGCTTCTGCAAATGATAATGCCCTGAAAAATAGCGTTACCCTTATATTGTGTTCAGCCAAACTGGCTCACAGACAAAAATTAGAACCTTTGCTCGCTCACTTACAAACAACAGAAGCCCATTTGTTCACTGGTCAGCACTGCCATTTTGGACATTGTATTGTTCCTGGGTTACAGACACGAGGCCATGGTGGACCTGGTCAAACTCCTGGGGACGCTGGTCAACAACAAGGGCGAGATCCTCATCCCCGGGATCAACGAGGGCGTGGCCCCGGTCACGGACGAGGAGAGGCAGCTGTATGAACCAATCGACTTTGATCAGGTATTTACAGTATTGTGACTCGTATCAACATACCTATGACTGTCCTCACTACATACTGTTACACCTTGTCTTAAATCAGTAGTCAATAATTACAACAAAGATGACTAGTTCAAAACCTAGTATCTTTACTAAATCCTCAGTCACACTGACCCCTCAGTCGAAACGGGTATTGCAATGACACATGGATATGGCATCACAAACATATGTACATTCCGTAAATAAGGATACATGATCATACAGTCTACACTGTGTGAGATGGAACAAACTATCTGTTTACAAAGGGGCATAACTCTTGTAGCCCTTCTTGCATACCACTAATAATATAGTACCCTGGTAACAATACGTATGACTGTTCTGACTCCTATACAGAAACAATGCCCTTACTCACTTACTTATTGAAGCATATTGAGTTGTAGGAATGTAGAAGTGTTGAGTGAGCCTCTTACACTTCCTAATTGCAGGAAGACTACAGGAAGGACATTGGCGCCCCCAAGTTGATTCACGCCAAGAAGGACCAAGTGCTCATGGCCAGATGGCGCTTCCCTTCCCTCTCCGTACATGGTAATATGTAGTGTTATCTCCCTCTCTGTACATGGTAATATGTAGTGTTATCTCCCTCTCTGTACATGGTAATATGTAGTGTTATCTCCCTCTCCGTACATGGTAATATGTAGTGTTGTCTCCCTCTCTGTACATGGTAATATGTAGTGTTATCTCCCTCTCCGTACATGGTAATATGTAGTGTTATCTCCCTCTCCGTACATGGTAATATGTAGTGTTATCTCCCTCTCCGTACATGGTAATATGTAGTGTTATCTCCCTCTCCGTACATGGTAATATGTAGTGTTGTCTCCCTCTCCGTACATGGTAATATGTAGTGTTATCTCCCTCTCTGTACATGGTAATATGTAGTGTTATCTCCCTCTCCGTACATGGTAATATGTAGTGTTATATCCCTCTCTGTACATGGTAATATGTAGTGTTATCTCCGTCTCTGTACATGGTAATATGTAGTGTAATCTCCCTCTCTGTACATGGTAATATGTAGTGTTATCTCCCTCTCTGTACATGGTAATATGTAGTGTTATCTCCCTCTCCGTACATGGTAATATGTAGTGTTATCTCCCTCTCTGTACATGGTAATATGTAGTGTTGTCTCCCTCTCGGTACATGGTAATATGTAGTGTAATCTCCCTCTCTGTACATGGTAATATGTAGTGTTATCTCCCTCTCCGTACATGGTAATATGTAGTGTTATCTCCCTCTCCGTACATGGTAATATGTAGTGTTATCTCCCTCTCTGTACATGGTAATATGTAGTGTTGTCTCCCTCTCCGTACATGGTAATATGTAGTGTTATCTCCCTCTCTGTACATGGTAATATGTAGTGTTATACTTTCCCCAGTCTCACCTGTACATCTATCATCTCACCTGTACATCTGTCATCTCACCTGTACATCTATCATCTCACCTGTACATCTGTCATCTCACCTGTACATCTATCATCTCACCTGTACATCTGTCATCTCACCTGTACATCTATCATCTCACCTGTACATCTGTCATCTCACCTGTACATCTGTCATCTCACCTGTACATCTATCATCTCATCTGTACATCTGTCATCTCACCCGTACATCTATCATCTCACCTGTACATCTGTCATCTCACCTGTACATCTTTCATCTCACCTGTACATCTGTCATCTCACCTGTACATCTATCATCTCATCTGTACATCTGTCATCTCACCTGTACATCTGTCATCTCACCTGTAATTTATCATCTCACCTTTTCATCTATCATCTCACCTGTACATCTATTATCTCACCTGTACATCTGTCATCTCACCTGTACATCTATCATCTCACCTGTACATCTATCATCTCACCTGTACATCTTTCATCTCACCTGTACATCTGTCATCTCACCTGTACATCTATCATCTCACCTGTACATCTATCATCTCACCTGTACATCTGTCATCTCACCTGTACATCCATCATCTCACCTGTACATCTGTCATCTCACCTGTACATCTATCATCTCACCTGTACATCTGTCATCTCACCTGTACAGGTGTGGAGGGAGCATTCAGTGCAACAGGAGCTAAGACTGTCATTCCGAAGAAGGTCATCGGAAAGTTCTCCGTCCGTATTGTGCCCAACCTGGAGCCCGAGCAGGTGGAGAAGCTGGTCGTAGCTCACCTGGAGAAGGCCCACAAGGAGAGCGGCAGCCCCAACACCATGAAGTAAGGGGGGAAGTGGGGGAGTCGATGTGGACATGGAATACAACTTTTGGAAAAAGAGGAATACTCTTTGTGACTTGTCAATTCTTGTCATTTTTGTTGATCACATGTTACTGAATGAGTAGTGTCTTGTTTTCGGTGCACATTTCCTTAAAAAAACTACAGTTGTGTAGAGGGGGTTTGTGTGTTTGTTTGTTTGTTTGTTTGTTTGTTTGTTTGTTTGTTGATTAATGCTGCACTCAGCAATATTCAAGCTATATCATGGCGGTCTGAAAAATAATCGAGTCTGGACCAGACAATCCAGTGATTGACATCATGAGCATCGATCCATGCAGGATCGATACGATGACATGTGTCAACCAAGTCAGCAAGCATGGGTTGCTGAAGACCTATTCTATCTCCGATCTTCACAGTTGGGGGTTGTGCACAATACAAGCACACAATGAGCTTCGGTTATTTTTACCTAAGACTAAAGACAGATGTTCTACCTGATCACCTATAACACTTCAGGGCATTAGAAGTCTGGTATCACAAGATAATAAATATGCAAATGAGGTTACCTAGAAGGGACTAGTTTAGTAAGGTCCATCGATTACTCACTAGATAATCTACTGCCCAACTAGTTGATATAGGGGTTGACCAACACGTCTGTGCTTCTGTGAACTAACATGTCTGCTAATCATGGCGGTTCAATCAGGCAGTGTATTTATGTGCAGAATAAAAGTTTCTTCATTGAGTGAAACCAGATCTTTAACTTGGATTGTTTTAAGAATAGTTAAAGAAGATTACTTGTGTGTTTCTGTGTCATAAATATCATATTTTACGAATAGAAAAGTACAATTCTTATTAAATTATGATACCGAAACCCTCGGCTACTAACCTATACACATCCGATTCTTGACTTGTCTGGTATTTGTGAGAAGAATCAGTCCCTATGACGTAATGCTTCTTGTGAAAAACGACTTATTAAGATCATGTGATCACAGCGTCATCGTATGGTTGTTGTTCACTCTATCAACCACTTGTCCACTGTGATAAATCATCCCTCATTAAGTCGGTTGGGATAAACGTAAAAACTGGCTAATTAAGATCATGTGATCACAGTGTCATCGTAAAGGTTGTTGTTCATTCTGTCAACCACTTGTCCACTGTGATCAGACAAGGGCCTCTGTGATAAATCATCTCACTCATGGCATACTTTTGGGGTTGACGGCCATGTTGCAGTGTATTGTATGTAAGACCTATATATATCTCCCTTGTTTATTCAGAGTGTCCATGGGCCATGGCGGCAGATACTGGCTCAGCGACTTCAGCCATCCCCACTACATGGCCGGCAGGAAGGCCATGACCAAGGGTAGGTAACTCTAAGTGGCTAATGAATGTTCTCATGATCAGCACATGCTCACGGAACAATTTTCTTTCATAGACTAAATATACTAGTTGAACCCCAAGACTCACATCGCTTGTCTGGGATTCTGGGGTAGAACTGCACCTGGTGTGAGCTGATAAGGATTGATTGTTTGTTTGTTGTTTCAAGCCGCACTCAGCAATATTTTAGCTATATGACGGTGGTCTGTAAATAATCAAGTCTGGCCAAGACAATCCAGTGATTGACATCATGAGCACGGATCTATGCAATTGAGAGTGATAACATGCATCAACCAAGTCAGCGAGCCTGACCACCCGATCCCGTTAGTCGCCTTTTACCACAGGCATGGAGGGCTTAAAACGGATTGAGTGGACATGTTTGGGGACTGTGTGAGATTCGCTTAGCCTGGATGGTGAAGATCTTAGTCATGCTTTCAGTTGCTGGTTTGCCTGCTCCAGACTTCATCACTGACAGGCGCTGAGATCAAGCTGACATTCCTGTGCTCCGGATGAGTTTCCAATGTTCCATTTGGTTGTAGTGTTTGGCGTCGAACCTGACATGACTCGTGAAGGAGGTAGCATTCCTGTGACCTTGACCTTCCAAGAAGCGACCGGCAAGAATGTGATGTTGTTGCCGATCGGTGCGTGTGATGATGGAGCTCACTCCCAGAACGAGAAGATTGACAGACGGAACTACATCAACGGGGTCAGTGGTCAAAGTAGCCGTAGTGTAGATATCCTTGCTGAGGACAAGTTTGTAGTGCAATCATTCTGCCCCTTGTCTGAATGTAATATCCCTGCTCTTTGAGTGATCTTTTCTATTTTTCTATTTTTAATGATGAAATACTGTATGTATGAGTGACTTAATTGTGAAGGTGGGCAGTGAGGTGCCTTGGTGCCTCAAATGTGTGATAGTTGTACAAAATCTGTTCTCTTTATTATTGTATTCGCATATTGAGTGCCGAGCTCCAACAACCAACCACCCCCTGACCAACTTCGGGACCGATCTGCAACTAATCTCTTTGCACCCCAAACTAAGACTGAAACAAAAAGACACATGTTCACTGGAGAGTCCCAGATGCATTTACTATGGCAACAAACATAATGAGTACAGTATTTGCCATGGCAACAAACATAATGAGTACAGTATTTGCCGTAAAAAGCGCAAAGGAATTAACAAATGGGGGGGCTTATTAAAACTATACATGACCGTCAATATTTTCGTTTTAAATATTTATTATATATTTCATATTATGGATTTTTCATAGAAAAACTATTATTAACAAGTTTTAGCTTCATCGCTTGAACTAAGGGTGTTCATGACTTCTCGATCTTTGAAAAAACATTAAACAACACTTTAATATTTGTGTATGGTGTTTGTTACTGTATGCTGCCATGCCATAGGAAAATCCTACCTTAAATACATCTAGGAACCAAGAGCAGATCCAGCATTTGTAAAAGGGAGGGTTCCAATATAAGAAAATCCTCTCTCATATAATATTACTGCCTACAACATACTAGGTTGCCCCCCCCCCCCCCCCCCCCCCCCCTCTGGATCCCCCTATCAGAAGCCACCATGGATACAAGTCTTACATATACAACTCAAAAGAAGTTAAAGAACACTTGATTCTTACATATTACTATTACTTCTCTTGAGGAGCATATAGCCACTGGAATGTTAATGATTTGATGGTATTGGCATGATTGTATTTCACTCCTTATTAACTGGCTTTCCTTATTTCTGCACCAGGTGAAAGTTCTTGGAGCCTACATGGACGAAGTGTCCAAACTGAAGTGATGAAACACTGGACTGCTACAACATCTTGGGGATCAGCATTACAGGGAGGGTGGGGGTCGGGGGTAGGCTGACGAACATTGGGAGCCCTAGCAATTTGATTCAAGTTGTTGAAACACCACTTTGCTTTTCCAGAGGGTCAGTTACTGGGTATATCAATATAACAGTTAATGATTTTCGCAATTACATAAAGGCAATGCTATCATCTCGACCTGGCATGAAAATGATCAACAGTCTGTGGAGCATCATTCTATAATTCTAACAATGTGGTACTGGTCATGATCTCTAGTATTGGCACCAGAAGGACGTGGGCGATCTCAGTGCTGATACATCAACATCAGCTACATCAACATCAGCGATGCCAACATCAGCTACATCAACATCAGCTACATCAACATCAGCGAGGCCAACATCAGCTACATCAACATCAACATCAGCTACATCAACATCAGCTACATCAACATCAGCGATGCCAACATCAGCTACATCAACATCAGGGATGCCAACATCAGCTACATCAACATCAGCGATGCCAATCCAGCTCAACCATCAGTCTGGATGATTAGCAACAGTTTGATTGTTGAGGACTGTAACATAGCTCATGTGTTGATATGTATTTTGTTGTTTATATTTTATGTCAATCATATAATGTCTCTATTGTTTAAAATAGTCAAGTATATCTGATTTATATGACAAAATCAAAATCAAGATACATTCAAATTGACTAGGTATTATTAGGATAGTTGTGTTTAATCAGAACTCGATGACAGTATTTGCACTGTGAAGTCTGACAATAGATATGTGGATACAAGTTATGTTTTATTCAGGAAAGCCAGGGTCATGCTTGCCATTGCTTACCGTGCTATGATAGTATGAAACCAGTATGTGAGGTATGCAACATGGATGGATTCTACAGACTATTTCATTACATGTTCATTTTGTCAAGTTTCTGTGATAACCAATCCGATCAAATTTTGCTGCTCATTTTTGAAAATTTATTTCAGCTTTTAATGCTTTATAAATTAAATTGTGGATACATGTACATCTTTATAACCCTGGTGTCTTTGGTCCCAAACTTGACGAAATAACAAACCACTTGTGTTGCCCAAAGAATTTTGTACCCTGACTGTCAAGGGGAGATAAGCATGTGCCACACAGAATTGTCTCCCTTACACAGTCTTTGTTTCTCTGTTTTCCATCAACACAAACAGTAAGAACTCCATATACTCCAGTGTCAGGTGGTTCATTCAGATGTTTGGGGTGGGGGGGTCCATTTGTTTTTAAATATTGCAAGCAGCAGTATGTTGTGCATACATATGAAATTATTGTTATGGAAACTGTTCAAGGTGTATGAAGTTTGTACTGTTAAGATTGTTGTTGTTGAGACATCGTTGCCATGGCAGCAAGTACTGTGTCCAGAAGCTCACCACAGTACAAATCAAGTACGTCATCTTTGTAGGATATGCATTTTCTCACGATTACTTTTTCTGTTGATTGTATTTTTTTAATAAATTTACTCTATTTTCACAAATGAAAAATGAGTGTTTTAATGATTTATATTCTATTCTAGATTTGTGAAATTAAGATCTGAAGGTTCGTAAACCTGGGAATAAGAAACAAGAGCCTCATAAATCACTGGTTTGTCAGTGCTCAATACTCTATTCTCCGGACCGCCCCCGTGGTCTAGTGGTAGAGCGTCCGCCCAGAGAGCGGAAGGTCAGGGGTTCGATTCCCGGCCGCGTCATACCAAAAGACGTTAAAAGATGGTACTTGTTGTTACCCTGTCTGGCGCTCGGCATTAAGGGGCTAAAACAAGGACTGGTTGGCTCGGAGTCAGTAAACTGCGGCATGGTATCTCAGTGAGCTAGCACTATAAATCGGCATCAGTCCGGACTAGTACAAGCAGCCACACAAACACACACACGTACATGCACCCCATTTCACCTCACCTCTATTCTCCGGTACGTGACATGTCCCCAGTTGTTAATCATGACACAGGACACACTATTCTTACAAAATGGCCTCCATTCTGTAGGACTTGGTAAAGCGGTGTACAGATTATCAAGATGTCAGTGACCAGCTGGGTCATATAGCCTTTGTATTCTAATTGTGATGTCACCAAGAGTTTGACAGGAGCCATTTTGTCCTTTAATGTGTCATTTGCTGATCATTTGACACGGGACACGCTATTCTTACAAAATGGCCTCCATTCTGTAGGACTTAAGAGTCATTTGATGTGCAGACAAGTTGCGATGTATCTCGCTATCAGTAACCAGCTGGTAATTGGCCATATAGACTTTGTATACTGATTGAGATGTTGTCATGATATCCGAGTCCGACAGCAGCCATTTTGTCCTTTACGTGTCCTTGTATCACGTGATCCCCCAATGTTGGGGAAATGCGGTAATACCTACATGCCGCCATGATACATGTGGGTTCTTGTGGACTGCAGCAGAAAACATGTCTACCCAAGACCGCGTTCAGTCAGTGAGTTTCAATGCTCAAGTTACCAGATATTCGGCTGCGAACACCCGCACACATCAAAAACAGAATCTCAAGATCAATATTGGATTGTATTTTATTAAAATAGATTGAATTTAGGTGCCATATAGAATGAGAGTATACTGGGTACGGCATCGACAACCTATAATCTAGAACGTCATACAAACCACGATGTGGTAACAATAGGAGGACAACACTCTCACAATACATGTAGTAGAAATGGCGTCTTCCGTAACGGCGCATGCAGCAGCAGCAGCAGCGGTGGTGTTGGCCATGACAGGACATAGCAGCAAGCTAGACAAAAACACACTCCACCACTAAAAGACAAACCCTTCTCGGTTCTCACAACATAAAACAAAGCACAGACATAGAGTCATAAGATTACTTTTTCCATATATCTTAATTCTCTAGCTAGAGTACAGAGGATAAATCCAATTTTCTTAAGTCCAGACGGAGTTATCAGCCCTTCTTGCCACAATTTGACTGACACATAATAAAACGTGTGTCCCAAATACTATTAGCAAGTTGTCACAATATTCTTCTATCTGTTTTCTGCCTACAATTTCTGAGATGTCCGAAACACATTTTGTATGTTCTGTCCAACAGACCTCCATATACAGTAAACTACGCTTACAGCAAACTCAAAGGGACCACTAGTTTTAGTTTCGTATAAACGTTCGTTTATATAAGCATATACACAACATATACAGTTCGTTACTCCACCAGTTCGTTATAAAGGTAGTTTACTGTATCTACCAGGTGGACTGAGTAAAACAAATGGCAGGCTTATCTTTTTAAAAACATTAAAGATTTCAATACCTGATGAATTTTTTGCAAAAATTGCAATAGTTTGCTCACATGATCATGGACTAACACAGCGACAATTAATTTGAAAAGTACCGCTCCAATAGGCACCCCCTGACTTACTTCTAGATGAATCTGTAAGTAATCTTTACATGTGCTCGGTACACACTGACAATCTCTATTGTCTCGTGAATGTCGCAGATCTGTTCACAGAAAGTACAGCAGTGGCAAGGGGCTGCATGTCTGCCAAGCAACTACAGGTGTATCATCAAAAGCGTTTTAGTTCTCTTCCACTTGATCTCTGGTTAAAATCATACACAAGGTAAGAACCTGGTGCACTTAGTATGGTGAATATGTTACTGTGCTGACTTCATCATGTTCAATAGGCAGCTTGAAACAGCATGTAGCTGGTGCTTGACTGCAGGGTTCGCAAGAAATGTTCATTGATGGTGGCTCAGGACTTGAATAGAACTAACTAACTAAATCCAACATGGCCACTCCTTCACACAGAAATCATTGCAAGTTTTTTTCATAATCAATCTGAATTTATTTACAACGTTACAGATTAATGAAGTAGAGATCACATAATGGTATTCCATTTTTCTACTGGCCACGGACCAATAGCCCTCCAATAAACCAGTCCAAGCCACATTTTTCCGGTCAACATCCAGTATAAACAGGGAACAGGTGCAGTGATGGGCGGAGATCGGGCCTCCAACCAGGATACAAGTCATGAATGTGTTTTCCAAACTACAGACTCAATTTGTATCCCTGTGCAACCCTGGTCGGGCACATCTACATGATGGAATTCTACAGATTCATGGCACAAATAATAATAGCATATTCTACAAACTGTTCACAGCAGACAGTTTTCTATTTTCAATGAAAAATAGTACAATACAGTTATACCCTTCCGATAGCACCAGAAAAACAGGAAATAGTATTTGAAAAGACCTTAGAAAATAGGTAAATCCACTAAGTAGGCAAAGTATTAAATACATAAACTGTAATAAACAAAATCTATATGTCACTTTACAAAATCTACATTTCAATAGTCAAGAAACCAATATTTCAATTGACCTTAATGTAAGCCCCCCCCCCCCCCCCCAAATAGTCTTGGTTCTCAGGCATAGCCCGCATCATCACAAAGTTTGCAGCACGTTTCATTTTTTATTTCAATTTTTTTTTAAAAACCCAAAAATTCCTTAAATATTCCAAGTCAAACGGTAGTCAAATACTGTATTCCAGTATTTTACTCTTCAAGAAATCCATTTCGGTAGGGAGGACCTTTCCCACAACTGTTTACCTGGCTACACATCAGTCTATTTGGTTACATACTAGTTGGAACAACAAAAACACTGCCTGCCCACACTATATTTTCAAAAGCCATTGCCTGAGAACCAATTATATATTTATTTTTATAGCCTAAACAATATTTTGATGACTTTAAAAATGAATTCCCCTTAGCCTATACCCAGCGATATTCTATCAAATAAGTGAGTAATGTTCCAAGCCACTCTATGTATACATTCCAGCCATATCACGGCCATGAATGACAAGAACAAGTTCTACATTGGTGTAGGCAAACCCAGCTACCCACTTCTATTGTTTGTTAGTTGTTTAACGCCGCACTCAGCAATATTCCAGCTATATGACGGCGGTCTGTAAATAATCGAGTCTGGACCAGACAATCCAGGGATTGATCAACGCAATTGGGATACGATGACATGCATCAACCAAGTCGGCGAGCCTGACCACCCGATCCTGCTAGTCGCCTCTTATGACAAGAAATGTGGCCTGTTACGGCAAGCATGGATTGCTGAAGACCTTTTCTACCCAGGATCGTTTATTGAAGCCAGTGAGTGAGTTGAGTTTTAGCTTTTGGCAGTATATCAGCAATATCACCAGAATTGGGCTTTACACGTTGTACCCATGTGCGGAATCAAACTCTGACTCTGTAAAACATGCAAAATCTATTGGACATGATGCTTTTGGTAGTATTAATATAAGTAATTTGAGTTGCCGTGTTACTGTTTCAAATTTGAATCCAAAATTACTAAAAAAAGACTACATGCACATTTCTGGAGTACAGGTTTACACAAGCACAGCCAGCACTTGCCCCATTCACCTTCACTGAATATATTACTTTATTTCTGGATAGTCCCCACTCCCAATAAATAGCTTCTACTTTTAAACACGGAACACAATAGACAAATATTTTTTCTGGGAGGATAGTGTGATTATTTTTTATAATAATACTAATAGATTCAACTGACGATCATAACAGGTTGCCATGACAACCTGACTCTTTTCCACGATCACCTGACAGGTTGCCATAACAACCTGGCAGTGTCAGTCTTGACTACTCCAGATGTATATATCACATTAGCATCACAGACTATTTCTAAATTGGTAAGTAGGACAGACACCAATCTAGTGAGACAATAACCTTTCAAGTAGAAATGCATGGACCTCAGTCACTGCGCTAAGACAGACTTACGATGGTCAGAGTTGTAACAGACTCACAATTGTGACTGCGCTAAGACAGACTTACGATGGTCAGAGTTATATCAGACTCACAATTGTGACTGCGCTAAGACAGACTTACGATGGTCATAGTTGTAACAGACTCACAATTGTGACTGCGCTAAGACAGACTTACGATGGTCAGAGTTGTAACAGACTCACAATTGTGACTGCGCTAAGACAGACTTACGATGGTCAGAGTTGTAACAGACTCACAATTGTGACTGCGCTAAGACAGACTTACGATGGTCAGAGTTGTAACAGACTCACAATTGTGACTGCGCTAAGACAGACTTACGATGGTCAGAGTTATATCAGACTCACAATTGTGACTGCGCTAAGACAGACTTACGATGGTCATAGTTGTAACAGACTCACAATTGTGACTGCGCTAAGACAGACTTACGATGGTCAGAGTTGTAACAGACTCACAATTGTGACTGTGCTAAGACAGACTTACGATGGTCAGAGTTGTAACAGACTCACAATTGTGACTGCGCTAAGACAGACTTACGATGGTCAGAGTTGTAACACAGGCTTAAAATTGTGACTGGGTTAAGATAGACTTACGATGATCTGAGTTGTAACAATGGGGTAACGCTAACAGTCCTACAATGGGTGTAGCACTAAGATTGTTTTGTGGCACAGGGTCCTGGCTTGTGCAGTGAGACAACAACATACAAGGATTGTTGTTAAAAGATGGTTGCAAGAATAGAAAATTTAGAGTGCTATGATCTCTGCGTTGATCTCGTTACAACTCTCACCCAGACGATGGAGCAATAACCACTTCAGGGCTGGGATTCTTCTCAGGCTTTGCCTCGATATAACGTGTGTCACTTTGTGATCATCAAAACAGTTATTCTGATTTCAACCCCACAGAATACATCAGAGAGCACCACAATGTTCGAACACTCATAAGATCTGCCTGAAGTATCGTCTTGTGAGTGTTTTCACAGACTAGTATTTAAACAAGCGCCTAATCTAGGGAAAAATGCCATAACCTGTACAAGCTTCCAGTAGGGCCATTTCTTTGCTTCTACCCTGAGTGTCAAGACACTGGCTTGTATTCCACGACATTATTTCATTTGGCGTTTACTGTGTTTTGGTTAAGTATGGATGAGCAAAACCCTGGTCCCATAGAAACACAGACTCGAAACAGCAGCAGTGTTTCAGTTGAACTAAAACCTGTCACCTACCGCTGTGACTCCCTGTCTATGACCAGCTCTGACTGGCAACACCCACCACAATATACATGTACACAGTCACATGTGCAAGGAAGCTAAATTACCCACTTCCCTTTATTTCTACTTCAAATAACCACAGCTAAGTAAGTAAAGATAAGATTTATGGATGAACTTCTTTATTACAATTAGGAGCTAAGTTTCGGTGTAGGTTCTAACACCGTTATCAAGCAAGTTGCTCCTAATTGGAATAAAGTTGTTCATCCATATAGCCTTACTTAGTACTCAAACTTCTAAATGCTTCTCAAAGAAGTAACAGATCAGTAAAATGAAAGATGGGTCCAACAATTCATATTTCCTGCATTAAACCCAGAAAGTGTGCAGGGCATCAACATCATGCAAGGATAGATCATCCATGGCAGCCACAAGCCAAACAAGGCAAAAGTAAAAACAGAACGTTCATGACTCCTAAAACAATGCTTATTATTCTTTTCGTATGCAATGAATTAGAATAGACCAATAACCACCCCAGCCCTCCAGTCATAGAACCCTCACCATCATCACACTTCGTAAAAAGTAACTTCCCGACAACCAACTCATCTATTTTAATCAATCGTTATTTCCAGGTCTTAAACATTATTTTTCCACTAAACAACCTTGCACCTACGTCCATGATGGCACAACAAACAGGACACTGCACCACACAGTCATGCAAACAATCAGGTAAGAAACAATAGTGAAATTAGTTGGAAAACATACACCTGAATATATGTTAAGCACCGTTGCCTAAAAGTTTATAGAAAATCACATCTTCTTAAAATTTCACCGACACATTTATTTTTGTTTACACTACAGAAACCGAAACTGATCATCAACCGATATGTTCTGTAACTGCGACACAGCAATAGCTATCTGACTTCCCCTTCACTGGCTTATATGCATCACGTGACGGGACTCGGTACACGTGCACCCATCTGGTGCTGGTGCACTTACTGTCAAACATGAGTGGTCAATTTGACATTATCAAAAGCAGCAAATGTAACAGATATTTCCAAATGATACATGCAATGAGTGAAAGAGTGAGTATGGCAATACGCCGATTTTAGAACTATTTCTGTGATATCATCGGGGGCATCAGAAATAGACTTCACACGTTGTACCCATGTGCAGAATCGAACCAGGGCCTTCAGCGTTACAAGCGAACCCTTTAACCACTAGGCTATCCAAAAAGATACATCAAGTTCAGGACATAGGACTAATACAAAAGAAGTGGTGGTGCTTAACTTTCTTCAAGGTGTATATGTTACAGCCTCGTCAAACTAACGTCAGCACATGAAGCAACAGCAGCATACACGTCTCCACACACGTGACCATCTGGAGAACCGGAATTTCATGGGTGCCAGGATACAATTGTCATGTGATGTCATAAAGAAAGAGGGTCGACGTCAACTTACTTCCCTAAAAATCGCCATGTATGAGGACTGTACACAAATATCTTATAGTTCTCGTTAGTTCGAAATCTAAATTATTACAATTACTATTTCAAGACTACAAATGGGATTCCTTTGTGCACAGTGTAATAAAAACGTTATTCCAAAACATTTCAGCAGACATGTCCAATTTCGATTAATCAGTCATGATGATGATATCTTAATTATCACAACAAACAACAGTTACTATTTCAATACTGACCATGGGATTTTGCAGGAAATGAGTCCAAATGTTTGATGCCATGTTTCTCTGCAATACATATGAATTGTTGCTTGTGAATTGTATCCTATGTTCATGAAATTCTGTATTCTTAAAATAAATAAGAAGTCAAAACAAGTCACCCATGAGATCCCTTACTTCAGGGTGGTCACATATATCTTTATATGATCATCTAATAATTCACTTCAAACACACACTAAAACAATAACACACTACTGTAAAATACGTATTAATAGTTGTGAGTATTCTACATTCACTGGGATTAAACACTGGAAAGACGTATAGAAGTCGGTTATTTTCTCATCTCTGGAAATACAGAATCTTGCATAAAAAGGGATGACATACGAGTTAGTATTCATATCAAACAACATAATTAGTTATTGGAAACAAAGTGATCAATGATTCATGACAATACAAAAATATTTTTACAAAATTATGAACAAAAATATGGTAGCAGTCCTCCATCCCTGAAAAAATGTCAAACATCAATCAAAAATATGTCCGTCATGCAGAAGCCGCCACGACAAGGCAGGACTGTAACAAGGTGGCACCGTCGTGATATAATTAAGATGGGGGAAGACGGGGACATGAAAAGTTATTATTTTTGCAAATATCTTTTGATGATTTTGCTTGACTAATAGTGACAACATTAACACCTTAATAAACTGGGTCAGAAAGAGCCTCGGCCTGAATTTTACCCTGACCTTGACCTTGACCCTATCCGATTCTAACCAGACTGTTACCCTAATTCTGATCTTAATCTTGTGTTATAGGATTCTGCCACACCAAAGGGATGCAACTCTACCCAGTGAATTGGGGTGCCTCTGAAGGTTGGTATTCTGTATGAATATCCAACACCTGCATCACGACACCTGTATCCTGATGTGTCTGTAGGGTGTGTCCTGTTACAGTCCTACTACAATTGTAACCATGGCAACATAACATACAATAGATCAGTTACAGATAAAAAACAGCTAGATACACGTACAACATAAAATTAATAAACTCTTCGAAAGTATCATACAAAAATTGCCATAAAACCCTGATCAGTTCAAGCTTAAATGCAATATGAAAAATGAAAAATATTTCCATAAAACAGATTTGTTTTTTGTGACAGAGTGGCCCAATTACAACAACAAAGCAGAAATTATTCAGTTTCCTAAATCATTGGATGAATTTATTATGTTTAATGAAGATATTATGCTGTAAGAGAGATCGCTGTAACCATGGCAACACACAATAGGAGGTAATGAGCATGACTTCACTGTCAGAATAATTCTCACAATTTTATCAGGATAAATAATGATCAGCTTGAAACTTGTCCGTCCAAGTTGAGAGTAACAGACAGCAGGTGAGCGTGGGAGCATGGCCTTGCACTGTAGCAACATTCCCGGGGGGTCTTAAAGAAGGCCTCCCGGGTTGTGGGTGTGGCCCCTCAAACACACGACTACTATTAAGGCCAATCTTATTCAAATCCATAGAAGGTCGCTTCAGGTGAACTTTCAAATCAGCCAACCTGATCCTTCCCTTTGATTGGGCGCTCACTGTTCACATGACATGACTATCTATGGCTGTGTCCTCAGATCTTCGGCTAAAAAAAATAGTCTCGGTTCTCAGGTTCACGCATCATCATAAAGTTCTCTGCACTTTTTGTCTTTATTTCCATTTTTAAAAAAACCAAAAAAGTCCACCCGCCTGCCTGATTTTTTCAAAAGCCATTGCCTGAGAACCAATTCTTTTATTTTTTTTTAGCCTTATTGGAGTAAAACATCAGATTTAAATGAGATTGCTGTCAAGGTCTGGGAGAAATGGCTCAAAATACATACAATTGTGTTGTTCGTATTGGATGGAAACCTTTAATAAGGGGCGCGGTCGGGTAGCCTAGTGGTTAAAGCGTTCGCTCGTCACGCCGAAAACCCGGGTTCGATTCCTGACATGGGTAAATTGTGTGAAGCCCATTTCTGGTGTCCCCTGGCCGTGATATTGCTGGAATATTGCTAAAAGCGGTGTAAAAACATACTCACTCACTCACTTTAATAAGATTTCTTGAAAACTATTTCAAAATTTACTTCTATCACACATTGGATAGTGTGACTGTCACATCCTGCCACTGTGACGGTACACCATGAGGAATGCGGTGGACACATGATAAACATCCATGCTTTGTTCGTGTAATTGACAGACATGTTTGTTTTCTGGCTTGGTGTGAGGTAGCAGAATACAAGACAATAAGTGTTATTCTAGGCTAAAAAAATAATAGTCTTGGTTCTCAGGCACCGCCCATATCATCAGAAAGTCTGGCACACATTTTGTTTTTATTTCCATTTAATTTTTTTTTTAAAACCCCAATACTTCAAAACAATGCGATCCAATATAGCACACAGTTACTTCCCTTTACACGCGTACTGCTTTACTGCACGTCTCGTGTTATGGTCATGGTGGCAATAGGAGTTTGTGTAGGGAGGCCCTTTCCCAGGTGGATGGTACACAACTGTTTATTTGGTTACATACTAGTTTGGACAAGCCAAAAAAACCAAACCAACAACCACCCACCTGCACTATATTTTCAAAATTCATTGCCTGAGAACCAATTATTTTCCTTTTTTAAGCCCTAATAAGTATAGGTTTTATCAAACTTCCAACATGATGAGCCCCTTCTAAGCAGCTGTTGTTACAAGAGGTAGGCTATTGTCATTGACAACCTCACATTGACAAATCAGAAACATCCATTTCTAAAGTTGTGGCTTATAACATTTACTGTTGAATCCACTCCTGAATTTCTAGCTCCAACATTACAACATCCCTTGTTCATGTTAAAGTGAGTTCTACTGTTGCTGATTGGAGATAAGGGGAAAAATCAGGGTTGCATTGAGAGTGATATTTTTCCTGTATTAGCTTTGACCATAAAATCAATTTGGAATATTTTATGACTAAAAAGTATGTTTAATAGACTGTACACAGCCAGCCACAGCAGGGCACCAACCATCTTACCTTACCATTTTCTACTGAAAAGCAAACTGCAGCAATCTAATTCCTGTCCAACATGTCTAAGAAAGCAAGAGTGTATTTTGTAAAAAAATGGAGCCCACCAAATATGGAACAATTCAAATGAATCTATATTTAGCATGCACCCATGTTGGGAGTGCTCTCTTGCTTACAGATTTAATTCTTTACCCTTAGGGTAAAACATGTAATCATTTTTCCATAAGAATATCAGATAATTGCAACAATCATGAATCAATTTTCACTCTTAACAGTCACATTTTAGCATTTTTCCTATTTGATGTTGATTTGAAGATACACCTTATGACAATGGCACCTTTTTCTCATCCGATCTTGATTTAACAATAAATTAAGGACTAAAAACATGTTTGAAACAAAAACTATGCACATATATGACAAGCTTCTCAACCTACAGAAATACCGGATGATGAGCCACTCAAACAACACATACACAAGGTGCACATTTGATCAGTTTGGATTAAAATCAACAAATAGCGACGACACAGGGTCTGATCTATGATTCAATAAATATACGAAAATAACAAAGGAGGTAATTCCAGCTGGCGAGAGCATCTCAACTTTTCTTCTCCTTGCCATTGATAGTTGATTTAGGTGGGGGTTTTGAGGTGATTGTGAAGCAGTAAATGCCAAGATAGTCGCAGATTTCTTGACAAACAATGTATGAATATTTCACTATGTCCACCGTCACATACAACTGCAAAAAAGGGAGAAAATTTCAGTTAATTGTACATGCAATTTACATATGATATATATCATATATGTATATACTGTCAAGTCACTTAATCCGACACTCGTTAATCTGACAATCTGCTTTATCCGACACTATTGACGGGAACTGACTAAATCAGTGCTACTTAGACTCGTTAATCTGATTGTCTCGCACACCTAATTTCCAACGAATTGCTGAAACTACTCAATAATCAGTCTCATTAATCCGACACAGTGATCAGCGTTCTCCGTGGTCATCTGTCCGCGAGTACACAGCCTGTGTTTTGATGCAAGACGAGTCGGCTGGTAGCTGTATATCACAATGGCTGCAGAGATAAACTTGCCTAACAATAAACAAGTAATGCTTTAAAACAGGATTAATCACATGCTTGGATTACCTCAATCTCATTAAAATCAGTTCTCGCAATCGCCGAGGACATCCCATTACAGGTCACGTCAGAACAACCTTTCGCGAACTATGACTGACCAATGAAATGACTAACAGGAAGTCAATGCTAGCCACTAAGAAAGCAGCTTTCTCAAGCTTTGCGGTGCCAGTTTCAAACTCGCGACTTCCATTTCAGATTATGCTTTTTAAAGTATTTTGAATAAGTCATGCAGTCCATAACAGTTGTTTTGTATTGAGCTTGAGAGGCTGCAGGATTAGAAAACATATTCCGTTAACAATGTAATATAACAATATGAATATTTCATTTTTCTTTTTTTTTATTACGTGTTTGTATCGTTATCTATTTTGTAGTTGTCTGATTTTCGATCATGAACGTTGATACTACTTAATTTCGTTTAACCGACATACTTGTTAATCCTACATAATCATATGCAACCAACCATGTCGGAGTAACGGGACTTGACTGTACTGCCACTTTAAGCATGTTAAGTGTGGTCGCTATATACCTACAAATTGCTGATGTGGGTCAAGGAAAAAAGAAGACAAATGGCAATGGCAGCCAGATATAAACTGGATCAGAATATGGTGAATATAAGTGAGTGAGTATGGTTTTACACCGTTTTTAGCAATATTCCAGCAATGTCATGGCGAGGAACACCGGAAAATGGGCTTTACACAATGTACCCATGTGGGAAATCGAACCCAGGCCTTTGACGTGAAGATCCAAAACTTTAACCACTAGACTACCCCAACGCCTCTGGTAAATATAAGCATATTATCCAACTAAACATGCATAAAAAACAAGTCTTCTAAACTGATTAAATATATCGAGAGGGATCACCCGTACATTGCTGGAATTTTGAATGTTGATCTTTGGCAAACTCGTATTTAGAAGTGTTTAGTTTGGTTGTTGATGAGCAAGACAATTGTGTGCCAGGTTGATAAGGAGGGCTGCATGCATCATTATATCTCGATAGTTGGTCACGATGAGATGGAGTGTATTGTTTCACTGTTAGTAATGAGAAGGATGATTACGTCACTTGCGAAACAAAGCTATGGTAGCGATGACTAGCGATGGAGGTGAAATACACTGGCTGATCAAGGGTCATAGGTCGTGTGGTCTGAGAATTTTCATCTGAACCTATTTAATGCACACTCACACAGCATATCCACAGCAGGAAGTATTCATTGAAGAAATTATTGAAGTACTGGTTTAGAAACATCAGTCCGGGTCCTATCAACCCCGAATCCAGCAAGTTCATCTCGCTCTTCGTCATATTTGCCACCTGAAAAATGCAAATGTCTATCACCATGGATATCTTACAAATTCAGTATTCCACCAAATAGTCTTATGGTTTTTGCACACAAAGATGGAATAATGAGATACCATAAATTTGAAACGAAACCCAACAAATTAGATTTATGTTTTGTTGTCGAAAGATAATTTTATGTGTAGTTAAAGCAAGGCGCGCTTACATACTTTCCATGAACCTTGGGAAGCGGGCATAAAATATCTGTCACTGGCATATGGCACTTGGAAAAGACATTCTTAAAAGCATTGTGACTTATCAGCGCCGCTGTAGCCTAGTGGTACACTTCTGGACTACAGATACGAAAGTTGCTGGTTCGATCCTCAAGGAATATAAAGAAAAAGCTTGTCATTTAATTTTACATTTCATTACATTGTGTTAAAATATTTGATATAAAAAGACACGAGCGTGAGATGTTATTTATCATCCAAAATGGTTCTTCCAACTTTTTTCAGTTTGTAAACAGTAATGACCAGTGTCAGTGTAAAAATAGTACAGCTAGAAAGAGGTCAAATGTAACAAATGTTATATTTGGGATAACACTTTCTTAATATAGTACAGATTACAAAGTAGACACAGCTTATGGGTAACAACTTCTTTAATACTGTAAAGGTGACATTTCGGTATAGATCCTTTTACCCTTGTCATGCAAGACATAGCAACTTGTGTCTACTTTGTCATCCGTCAACTTCTTACTAATGCCTATCAAACAATTCAAAGTACGGATTCTTGGACTCGTTTCTATGGCATTGTGTTCATAGCTTTCGGCCATGGGAGCTGTGCCAATTTACATTTGTCAGAGGGGTACACCCAAAACCCAAAAAGTACTAGAATCTGAACTTTACCAAGAAAGTGCTATCTCAAATATAACATCTGTTCTAAAATAGAGACATGGATGACACAGTCAACTCACCACTAATCTGTTCGAGACTTTTGCTGGCAGCAGCCCAAAGCTAACTATATAGAGACATGGATGACACACAGTCAACTCACCACTAATCTGTTCGTGACTTTTGCTGGCAGCAGCCCAAAGCTAACTACATAGAGACATGGATGACACACAGTCAACTCACCACTAATCTGTTCGAGACTTTTGCTGGCAGCAGCCCAAAGCTAACTACATAGAGACATGGATGACACACAGTCAACTCACCACTAATCTGTTCGTGACTTTTGCTGGCAGCAGCCCAAAGCTAACTACATAGAGACATGGATGACACACAGTCAACTCACCACTAATCTGTTCGAGACTTTTGCTGCCAGCAGCCCAAAGCTAACTACATGGAGACATGGATGACACACAGTCAACTCACCACTAATCTGTTCGAGACTTTTGCTGGCAGCAGCCCAAAGCTAACTACATAGAGACATGGATGACACACAGTCGACTCACCACTAATCTGTTCGTGACTTTTGCTGGCAGCAGCCCAAAGCTAACTACATAGAGACATGGATGACACACAGTCAACTCACCACTAATCTGTTCGAGACTTTTGCTGCCAGCAGCCCAAAGCTAACTACATAGAGACATGGATGACACACAGTCAACTCACCACTAATCTGTTCGTGACTTTTGCTGGCAGCAGCCCAAAGCTAACTACATAGAGACATGGATGACACACAGTCAACTCACCACTAATCTGTTCGAGACTTTTGCTGCCAGCAGCCCAAAGCTAACTATATAGAGACATGGATGACACACAGTCAACTCACCACTAATCTGTTCGAGACTTTTGCTGGCAGCAGCCCAAAGCTAACTACATAGAGACATGGATGACACACAATCAACTCACCACTAATCTGTTCGAGACTTTTGCTGGCAGCAGCCCAAAGCTAACTATATAGAGACATGGATGACACACAGTCAACTCACCACTAATCTGTTCGAGACTTTTGCTGCCAGCAGCCCAAAGCTAACTACATAGAGACATGGATGACACACAGTCAACTCACCACTAATCTGTTCGAGACTTTTGCTGCCAGCAGCCCAAAGCTTACTATATAAAGACATGGATGCCGCTCGAAGACGTGGGTGGGGGACTTGGCCTGGATGAGGGTGCCGAGGACGACGGCCAGGACGATGGGGAACATCGGGAAGATGGTGCTGGTATCCTGAAAGTACACACAGACAATATCTACTTACAATTAGTGCGCTGGGCAGTGAAACAGACGTTTGATATCATTAGCATTACTATCATTCTTATAACATGTATTGTTAGTAATGGGCCGATGCAACGGTGCAAGTACCAATCGCAATCACAATCAGATACTGTGTAAACAGTATTGATTCCTACTTTATATGTATTCTACAATAAATGTTACACCAAACACTAATTAGTAGTGAAAATGTTAAAATAGTTTCATCCATTGCGCCATACTGGACACCGTCAACTGTAAATTGTTAGTGTGCCAGGTATTTGGCCATCCTGTCTATGTTAGATGACTTACGCACCACAGGAAAGAGCACATGCAAGTATCGTGATGTGTATACGATCATGAGCATAGTTGGTGTGTCATCCCAGCCCTATGTATTATTAATATTTTTTTCAACATCACCGTGATCACACAATCACATGATACAGCTTGTGAAGACTTCAATATATTTTGCAGTAACTGACATAAATAAACCGGAGTGCACACAGTAAATCCAATTTATGCAAAATGTGTATACTGTTTTTTATGTTCATTCTTTCATAAACACGAAAGGATAATGAAGTGATACTGATAAATACATAAGGCATTGATAACAACTTCACAGACTGCTTAGTCAATGATTGACACAAAAATGTGCAGACAACAATATGAAATCGGTGACATCACTCAGTGCAGTAACGCAACCAACACCCTGCCAATCGGAAACAGTGGACAGATAGTGGGCGTAGACTATTTTGGGGGTACACAAATGTTAATGGATACACAAATGAAAATGAAATACATTGCTTGATCAAATGCTATAGAATCACTTGCAGTATATTTATTAACGGGACATCTTACATTTTGGACTCTTGGCATTAGGGCTGCGTGAAGGATGCCTTTTTGCAAACAAACCGGGAATGTTTGCAGAGTAAGGAACCTACTACATTGGAACAAATATTTTCAACCTGAAAGACCATTCTTGACAATCTTCTGATTCGATTAAAAATATCAAAGGTTTCCTCAGACAAGGCTGACATTTTTGAACTAAGACCTATGAAGTATCCTTAAGAAGGGGCATTTTGATTGGTCGTCGATATCAAGCTTCTGAGCGAGAAACAATCGGAAACAAAGCTATGGTGGCAAAAATAGAACAGATATATGATACACTTGATAATCGAGGATGAGTTGAGAAGTGCTTACAGCAACAGTGGATCCGTTTTTGCCCACGCCGCCCTTCATGACACACAAGTAGGTGCGATATGACGCTGCTGCCGCCCCCAGCAGACTGAATAATATCACTAAAATCTTCATCTCAATTCCTAAAATGGGGATCTGAAAGAAACAATTGTTGAAGATGAAAAAAACAAAAGACATTCCTCAACATCTCTGACAAGAGACTGATGCTTAGGCGACATTTTTTAAATTTCTTGGTTTACGGATGCGCCGCTCTTACAAAGTGCATATGTTTAAAACAAATAAAAATGAAAATTACCCTTATTTTTTATTACCGCCGATCTTTACGTCAAAAAGTTCAAACAATAAAATATTTCATTTCCTCGTCGAGCGTAAAGCAAAGGGAAGTCACTCTGATATTTCTCACTGGGATCCTTCTCTGATACCATCCAAGCTTGTCAACGCAAAGCGCAGTGGTGACCAGTTTAACTCTTTCAACACTGTTGGCTGGTACATCGGCCAAGAAGCCACGAGTCACCAGACACCGCAGGGTATATCGCCCAAGTCACGTCAAAATAGTTCATAATTTTATTGACCTACTTGTCCTATCATTCATTTATTAAATCTATCACATTTCATTTGATTTTATCATTTATCAATAGATTAAAAAATTATTCACTATTTCCCCCAATGTTATTGAAAATAAAATTCTCGGACACACTTTGACAACGGGTTCTCATCAAACATGTCAAACAGCAAAATAAAGACGTTTCAAGCAAATCCTTAAATAAATTATTCAAAGTAATAAAATCAACAAAAATATATCTAAAAGTTATTATTTCCATCTTTGCGTGCGATTTTGTGTAATGTTAGTCAAATGACATCTCGGCTTTCGTTGCCTCGATTTCTCGGCTTTCGTTGCCTCGATTTCTCGGCTCGGACACGATGTCTTTAATGCCAAAATATATGCAAACGAAATCTTTGTCACAGCTCGTAACCCAGCACAATGCAACCATAAAGTTCCATATTTTTAATATAGATCGCGATTTCATGCTTAAGACGTTCAGAATAACTTGATTTAACCCAAACCTTTCGCCAAAGTCTGAAAATGATCATACACAAGGACGTACTGTATTTGCTGTAATTTGATTGGCTGCCTTAGGTCACATGCTTAAATTTGACCAATCACGAACCTTGTAGCAGATTATGTCGGTGAAACAATAAAAGTTTTTTTAAAGTATTCTAACATGGCAGCCTTCAACGTATGTGTTATTCATACGAAGCTTCGAAAACTGAGGTATTTCCTCATGTTAGTGATAAATGTTGGCTTCATCTATCACACAAGAGTCTCTGGGAACAGCAGTGTTCTTCTGGTTGGCTGGTGTTGAAAGAGTTAAGTGTCACCTATGCTGCCAACATAGCAACGTCTTTGATGCATTTCCACCCATGACATGAATATTGTTATATTGCAATTTGTGCACGAACTGAGTGCCAGGGATATGATAAAATGTTCTTGAAAAATTGAGTTGTTTTAAATTTGTTACTCCAGAATATTTTTTTTATACCTACCTAACTTTTTAGGACAAATTTCAAGTAAAAAAAATCTCCGAGGCCTTTTTCACTTTTGAAATGAGTTTATAATTTATAATAGAATTATTTATCCTGATAAGTTAATTATTGATGCAGACAGCAAAAATCAGCTGTTCAGCAACCTGTAATTTTCACCAAACTTGTGGCTGATGGGCAAGAAACAGACTGGGCTACCAAGGTCGGAGCATTGCTGGCCAGGCAGTCGGAACCACCCAGCAAACACTCACACAATCATAAGCCTAGTCATTTCAACAAGCATGGGAACATTACCAAATTTTACTGAGTGAGTGAGTGAATGTAGGTCAAGGCCTATGTCAGCAATATTCCAGCTAATGAGCTACATCACAACGGCCGGTAAATCACCACCGTATCAAGTGTGGACCAGACACGCCTGGGACTGAAAGTTTAGAGCAGAGGGACTCAATGACACACAATCAGCCAAATCACGGTCCTTGACAACCAGATCCATCTAAAAAGAATTCTACCCAGTCTCTACATGGAGAAGCAATCATTGATTTGTTTAGAATAGGTTCTTGATCCAGTTTGTCGTTCAACACTACAATCAGCAGTATTCCAGCTGCATAAAGGCGACCTGTCAATAACCCAGTCCTGAACAGACAATCCATGCAGAGCAATGATCTACACTTCCGGGGCACAAAGACCCACAATGAACCAAGCCTCATTCATTAAGTCTCCCTTACAACCTGGACTTCTAGGCGTCGCACCTACCTGTATATCCCAGAACGAATCTCCCATGACTGTAGAAACTAGATGCACAAACATAACTGTAAACTGGCCCTCCGTGACATCCAGGCTGCAACACAAGACCACATCACTGTCACCATGGTTACGTGGGGGAACAGGATCTTACACAGTTGTCATGGTACTGTACAAGACTTTTATATTTTGAAGAATACAATGAAATACTCACGGGCCAAACCTGAGTTTGCCGCAGACGTAGGCCTGCCAGTGTGCACAGTAAAATAAAAACATAGCTGTCAAGTTCTCGAACAGCATCCATCCTGGATTCTTCCCGAGCTTCATTGCGATACTCACGCCCAGCATGACAAACACTGGAACAACAAAATATCAGTGTCATTGCAACACAATCACAATAGTGAAAATAGCTGCCCCTCCACTAACTCTTGTACATACAGAGCCAGGGACGACCAGTCTAGATATCGGGACATGACTAGTGTTATAGATATACACAGCTACTGCCACTAGGGCTGGGACGACCAGTCTAGATATCGGGACACGACCAGTGTTATAGATATACACAGCTACTGCCACTAGGGCTGGGACGACCAGTCTAGATATCGGGACATGACTAGTGTTATAGATATACACAGCTACTGCCACTAGGGCTGGGACGACCAATCTAGATATCGGGACACGACCAGTTTTATAGATATACACAGCTACTGCCACTAGGGCAGGGACGACCAGTCTAGATATCGGGACATGACTAGTTTTATAGATATACACAGCTACTGCCACTAGGGCTGGGACGACCAGTCTAGATATCGGGACATGACCAGTGTTATAGATATATACACAGCTACTGCCACTAGGGCTGGGACGACCAGTCTAGATATCGGGACACGACCAGTGTTATAGATATACACAGCTACTGCCACTAGGGCTGGGACGTCCAGTCTAGATATCGGGACACGACTAGTGTTATAGATATACACAGCTACTGCCACTAGGGCTGGGACGACCAGTCTAGATATCATGACACGACCAGTGTTATAGATATACACAGCTACTGCCACTAGGGCTGGGACGACCAGCCTAGATATCGGGACACGACGAGTGTATGAACGACACAATTTGACGTTCATACGTTTTTCACGAGACCATGTTCTTGAAATGACGTAAACACTGACGGACTACTTCCACATTCCTGGGGAAACCCCTGGGAATTCCCTAGCACGAAAACATACATAAGCGTTCTTTTTGATCATTTAGAACCTTTATTCTTGGTCTCAGCGTTTCAGTTTACATTGAGAAATGTCAGAGAGCGTGACAGCATGATTGTTCACGAATATCCTCGCAACGGCCCATCCTAATGAACAAACGAAGAAATGCACATCTAAACTATAATGGTATCCACTCGATTCGTGTCTAGGCTGACACTGACCGTCTCCAGCAATCTATGAATTTACCTTAGTGTCCGTGGTTTATTGATGGTTCTGTACTGCTGGGTTAGCAGGTCTATAAAACATGATGTTGCCCAAATCGTGGTCAGTTATTGTTTTATAAAAAAAACATAAAACACAACAACATTTCAACTTGAATAACTGATGCTGCTTCACATCAAATTTTGTGTTACGCTCTTGTTGATTGGCTGAATAGATTTCTCTCCTTAGAGTCCATTGGCTCAACCATGCAGGGCAATACAACTTATGACCGCTGCTCGGCAGGGTGGGTCTCAGGGCAATAACATGTCTTAAAGAAGGTCATTGAAACTTTCTCAACCAATGAAAATACAGGTAATATTTGTACATTTAGTATATCATCATCGCAGAAAGGTCACAAAACGAGGTCATCCCCATAGTGTGGCCCTAATATTGATATTGTTTAGATAGAAAGGTTATAAGTAAATTTACAATAAGTATACATCAGTTGAATTAGTGAAGATGTTAACATGCTTACTAATATATTTTAGAAAACACTGTGACAGTATGTACTGTCAGTTGGTATTTACGACGAAGACAAAGAACTGAATCGTAGATTGTATTTTTGTCTTACCCGTTGATACTGAGTCGCATCCATGATCAAACAGTTCCCCGAGAGGGGTGTTGGACTTGGTGCGCCGCGCCTGCTTGCCATCGATGGCGTCTAGCGACTGGTAGACGAACAGCCCCAAACCACACATAAAGTACGCCCATGATGGCACCTGTAGCAAAGACAAACACAAAGACATGAGTAAAGTTAGCAGGGACACAAGAAAGAACACAGGGACATAGGTGAGGTGAGGTGAGGTGAGGTGAGGTGAGGTGAGGTGAGGTGAGGTGAGGTGAGGTGAGGTGAGGTGAGGTGAGGTGAGGTGAGGTGAAATAGGGTTCTACATAGCATCCAAGATTATTGCACTTATATAGCGACATGCATGCACGTGTGTGTGTTGCTGCTTGTACTAGTCCGGACTGATGCCGATTTATAGTGCTAGCCCACTGAGATACCATGCTGCAGTTTAACATGTATACCCCACTCAGACACAGTATATTGACTCCGAGCCGACAGTTCCTCATTTTAGACCCTTAATGCCGAGTGCCAGACAGGGTAAGAACGTCTTTTGGTATGACATGGCCGGGGATCGAACCCCGGACCGTCCACTCTCCGGACGGACGCTCTACCACAAGACCACGGAGGCGGTCCATATGCAGGAACACAAGTAAAGACACAAGTAAAGACGCTTATGAAGATCCGGGGTACCATAGGTCTTCAGCAACCAATGCTTGCCATAAAAGGCGACTATGGCTTGTCACTCCTATTAACACAATAGGATCCTGGAAGTCTCTCTTATCAACATGATTGTACTAAAAGCATGGTCAGTGTTCAGACAGTCCATCATGTCCAGCGCTGTCCTCGTCTCATCATGTTCACTCAACATCCTCAATAATTAAATTTTGATTCACAGAAGGAAATCCCTATCTATCAATGTATCATCATAATCCTGTCTACAATAATGGCAACAAGTCTGGAGTAGGCCACTCCTTTTCATGCATGGAGTAGGACCCTCCTTTTCATGCATGGAGTAGGACACTCCTTTTAATGCCTGGAGTAGGCCACTCCTTATAATGCCTGGAGTAGGCCACTCCTTTTCATGCATGGAGTGGGACCCTCCTTTAAATGCCTGGAGTGGGACACCTCCCTCCCCCTTTTCAAAGCCTTGAGTGGGAACCCCTCTTTTAATACCTTGGATCCCACTTTTGATATCTGGAATCCCAAATGTTTATTACCAAGGATCCCTAAAACCGACAAAAACACCTTCCGCTAAATACAGCCAGATGAAACAAATCAAATACAAACAAGCATGGAGATGTGACCCCGTGATGACAGTCCGTGATGACAGTCCGTGATGACAGTCCGTGATGACAGTCGGGACACAGCCAGCCTGATGAGTATCTCCACGTTATATAACGGCTATCTGATAGCTGCTATCTGTGACCTGGATGTAACATGAATGGTTACCAAAGGTCAACACATACATACACTCGACCCATGGGACATCTGCACTCCAGTGACATTTCCTGAATATATTAGAATGTCAACTTTAAATCTCATACCATTGTTGCACCATGTATAAATATATAATGAAGTCAAAGCAGGAACATCTGAAAACGACAATTACAAGCTTTGTTTCTTACTTAATTGTTTGGAATTTGTTCAAATTTCATTGCCCATCTCTTCAAACACAAACTTCAAAATCATCTTATATTGATTTTGAAAATGCAACGTTGTATGCCAAATCTGGTGTGTGGAACCACATGACACAAGCACATCAGTACCAACATCACCTATTGTAACAAGCAGGAAATATTTATATCCCCTGCCAATACCGTCATTTTCAGTCTAAGTAAAAAATGTCGCCATGGAAACAGGAAAAATAATTTTATTAAAAAATCTCAAACTATCAAAGGGCACCAGTTCACATCTAGACCTATCTATATGCCAAGTTTGGCTAAGATCAGTGAAGATATCTCCCATGGTTTTTGAGTTCTGCTCCTGAAAACGAAACGTGATGGACAGACTGATGGACACACAGCGCCCCTACCTATATCCCCTACCTATATCCCCTACCTATATCTCCTTCCACTTTGTGGCATGGGATAATAACCAATATCAAATATAGGGATGTTAATGAAAGCATACCAGTTCTAACATCACATATTGAAATAACCAATCTTAATCATTTCCCCATTACAGTTCCCACACTATATTGACCATAACCATGACAACTCTGATTCAACAAAATGTTGTATTCAGGCAGAACAAAAACGAATGTTAGTTTTTCATTTCATAATTGTAAGGCAAATGGTCAGCTGATACAAGACTTATCTAATGACTTTAACATGACCATATGAACATAATGTAACAATATTCATAGTTATTTCCTAAGCTTTAATTTTAAAGGATTATTCAAGTTTAGAAAATATTTAACTGTAACTTTCCCACTGTTCTGTCAGGTGACCCTGTAGCTGACTTCATCAACCTCCAGTGACCTCCTATTGTTCTCCAGTCGGGGTAAATCTCACCAACAATGATGTTGTAAAGTCCCTGACATTTTAAAGGATATTCCAGGCTTATTTGCTATGTAATGTGTTGTAATATCCCAGGTATTATATTCATACAACTTCAGATTACAACATGTAATGAAATGTAAAATCAAATGACAAATGTCTTTTGTTATATTCACAAGGATCGATCACGAAACATTCCTATCTGTCGCCCAGTGAGTGTGACACTAGGCTGCAGTGGTGTTGATAAATTGCAATGCTTTTTAGAATGTCCTTTTCAAGAATCCTACGCCAGCAACAGATATTTTACACCCTTTTCCTAAGGTTCATGGAAAGTATGTTTGAAACAATATGTTGATAAATGTTGTTTTAAGGTTTTTTTTCGGTTCATAAGATGTGTCTCTGGTTTTATCCCGTGGATGCAGGTCTTAAATATCGTAAAAACCCTCGGACATAACTTATCCTACACCTAACACATCCACAAGTCATATGGTCATGATGATAAGGGTTCAAGGTCTGCTAGCAATGCAGTGTAAAATCTGAAACCATTCATTTGAACATTTGATTGTCAAAATAAAAAAACAGGTCTGTTAATTCCAAAAGTACATTACCGGGTAATTAAAATCAAGATAATGTAGGCAAGAATAATTGACAATCAAATTCACGAAAAAAATTATGGATCATTTGTTGCAATCAAAATAAGCATGATAAGTCAATAGCTTATGTCATGGAAGATAAAAAAATATGACCATCTCCATACAGCATTGTACAGAAATCTGTACATCTGTCACAGCCTTAGCTAGTCTGCCTGTCAGTACTACATGAGTACATGGAGTAAGCAGAACAAGTTATTGGAAAGTAGGACACTGATCATACACATAAACATGTACATCTTTCAGTAATCCAATATGATTGTAACCATTTAGTACATTTTCGATGTATTAATATCAATTCCTAGCTATAACATATATAAGAAATACATATTGTATGATCCTGGTAAAATAGGCAGCTTGCATCAACATGCAGCCTAAAACTGTAACCATGGTAACCATGGTAACATGGCAACAGCTGTTGTCATTGATTGACATGAGAGTGGGACGGTAACACCTGGTGACAACAACATAAACAAATCATATTCAGCACTTATCATGTTTCTACATGCACGTGAAATGTTTAGCACAGCGTGTCAGATTGATTGTGGGAGGTTAGCCTGAAGTGATGCAAATCTTAAACATTTTACCACTTTGGAGGAACCCAGGAGCATGGGCATGGCGCTGACAAACCTAGAAACATAATTGGGACAAACTGGGATTCGAAACCAGAGACATAGGATTCTGGTGGCCCAAGGGATGTAACTCTGCACAGTGAAGTGTGGGGTCGGAGATCACCTGGCCACCTGTCTCCACCTAAAGTTCAATCGCTCGCATTGTTGCAAGAGGTGAAAGGTTATAATGTGCACATGGTGAAAGGCCATTTAGCAGCAGATTGATAAACATGACAAATAGCTTCACTACCATGACTTGTGATGGACACAGCCCTGATTTTCATATTGCAATATATTACAATAATGATTCATCATGTTCATGTATTGCTATACGTACAATATATTGCATGCATTCTTTCATCTGTAATTTGTTATGAACTTTAATAAAAATACCCCAAGTTTTTCTTTAATTCTGTACTGTGAGTTCCCTGACAAAAAAGAGAGATAAAAAATGATTTTTCTTTAAAAAGATGTTATCATGTCCACGTTTATATTTTAGATTTTCCCTCAAGTGGGAGACTTAGCGCTGATGTAAACGTTGCCAACAAGATGAAATTTGTCAGAAAATATTCCTGGATTTTAAAAAACGTAACATACCGGTATTTTCTAAACGTATTGTGATACACATTCATTAGTATTTCAAATCGCAGCATAAAGGTAATACTGTACACCCCGAACCATGCCAATAGGATTGCTGCAAACACATTCTCCTTCTGAATCTCCAATATTGCAATATGCAGCCATCATGCATACATGCACAAAATAATATGTCCATAAACATTGCACTAAACCCACTGAGCCCTCATAGCACATACAGAAATCAGTCTGTGGGAGAGGCGTCAAGATTGTGTATCAATGTGTATAGAGAGAATGAAACACAACAGAATTGTGGCTGCAGATTACTGTGAACACATGATAAATTACATAAAAACAATGATACTTTATTCAGGAAGTAAAAGTAAGAAAATGGGAATTGTTTCATCACTTTCATCATGATTGAGTGTTAAACAAGTCATGTTGTCAGATTATGTAATAAGTACTACACAAGTGACAAGGCCTAAAGTAATTAATTATACCAAGTCATCATTATTTTATTTTCTGGAGGAATGTGAAGCATTTGGTTTATTTGACATTACCAGCTTGCACGCGAAGAGAACTTACTAAACATGTTGAATCTAACTGATTTTTTTACATACATCTAATCATCGGTAATTAATTTCAAAATGAATCTATGTTGTATCTATGGTGATTAGTGTTAGACATAGACTCAAATTTGCTGGTTGGGGTTTTACCCACCATAGACATGACAGAGGGTCCTCAAGATTCCTGGTATTGGTCTGTACCAAACACAGGAGAGACTACTGGCATCATCTTAAGCAGTTTAAGTCTCACCATGCTTAGTATAACATGTACATGGATGACTATATGCTGATCTTACTAGACAGGACACAATTTTACAAGACTCTGGCATCGGACAAGTTGCTGAAGTTGCCAGCTGTGACTGTTTGTGACATCGGACAAGTGGCTGAAGTTGCCAGCTGTGACTGTGCGATCAGACAAGTGGCTGAAGTTGTCAGCTGTGACTGTTTGTGAGATCGGATAAGTGGCTGAAGTTGCCAGCTGTGACTGTTTGTGACATCGGACAAGTGGCTGAAGTTGCCAGCTGTAACTGTGAGATCAGACAAGTGGCTGAAGTTGCCAGCTGTGACTGTTTGTGAGATTAGACAAGTGGCTGAAGTTGCCAGCTGTGACTGTGCGATCAGACAAGTGGCTGAAGTTGCTAGCTGTGACTGTTTGTGAGATCGGATAAGTGGCTGAAGTTGCCAGCTGTGACTGTTTGTTACATCAGACAAGTGGCTGAAGTTGCCAGCTGTGACTGTTTGTGAGATTAGACAAGTGGCTGAAGTTGCCAGCTGTGACTGTGCGATCAGACAAGTGGCTGAAGTTGCCAGCTGTGCCTGTGCGATCGGATAAGTGGCTGAAGTTGCCAGCTGTGACTGTTTGTGAGATCGAACAAGTGGCTGAAGTTGCCAGCTGTGACTGTTTGTGAGATCGAACAAGTGGCTGAAGTTGCCAGCTGTGACTGTTTGTGAGATCGGATAAGTGGCTGAAGTTGCCAGCTGTGACTGTGAGATCAGACAAGTGTCTGAAGATGCCAGCTGTAACTGTTTGTGAGATCAGACAAGTGGCTGAAGTTGCCAGCTGCGACTGTTTCTGAGATCAGACAAGTGGCTGAAGTTGCCAGCTGTGACTGTTTGTGAGATCGGACAAGTGGCTGAAGTTGCCAGCTATGATTTTCTGTGAGGTTATTTGTCATCAGGAGGAAACCTCAGGTCCCTTTGTCATTAGGGAGTAATCATGGTAATAATATTACTTGTATAATAGGTTTTGAAATTTTACTTAGTCAGTAAATGGTTAAACGAAGATATGAATGTTTTTAGTCTGGTTTCATTTATGTTCTATGGGGCTATCAGCCTATCACTGACAATGCTGACCACCAACATCTGAAAGTTATAAATAACAATTCAGTGTATAATGCCTAGAGGGACTAGGAATGGGTGAAAAACATGATCAGTCACTTGTCATTTTGTATATTTATCGATAACCAGTATTTCATCATACATAATGATACGACTCATCAACTCCTACATGTAAACAACTGGTGGAGCACTATGCTTTACCGAATGGGTAAAAAACAGGATCAGTCACTTGTCATTTTGTACATTTTTTGATAACCAGTATTTCATCATAGATAATGATACGTCTCATCAGATCCTACATGTAAACAACTGGTGGAGCACCATGCTTACTGGTAACCTTGCGTAGCTGACATTGACAGCTGATATCTGACACATATTTTGTCATTAATGAACAACACTTATATATCCCCTTTGAGATAAATGCTAGATAGCGATCAGCTTATGTTTGATAGTCATTTATACCAAAGAAAAAAATAGATGGCTGCAGCAAATGTAACCTCAGCTATTTTGGGCCAATTGAACAGACACAACGCTGTGACCAACCGATGACTCATGGTTATAATTATAAATTAAGAAGTTAAACCAAAAGTTGAGATATAACTATTCCTGAGTGTTCTTGGAAAAGAAATTATTTTATCAAATGTGTTTATGTAAGGCAATGTCACAAAGAAGCCGTCACACTTAGTGACATACTGACTTAGGCCCAGCATGTAAGTTCTACTTTCTACTTACGTCTTGTTTAGCATCAGGACTGTAGTAAACGAGAAGGAGGGTAGACAGGATGTTGACGAATAAACCCACGATCGTCAGGGTGTTTGGAGCCCATGTGGTAGGTATTTGTTCAATAAGCCACCTCCAAAACACTTGCATAGGTGGTTCCAAAATGGATGTCCCTTCCGAACTGTACTTGTGTTCCGACAGCCGTTTCAGCTGTGCAGATGTTAAAACCTCCATCATGGTGTCGATTGGGAAGTACAAATGTACTAGAAACGACCGCAGTCAGAAGCTATCAGATATTTGTTTGTGGAATGTTGTCTCTCTTTTCTGTGTCAGCTGGGATCCTCCACATCACACGGTTTTCGACCCACCATCAGAAAACAGCGGAAGTGTACAACGCGCAAGTGTATCTGCACGTTATGATATTACTTCCGGGTTACAGGAACAGTTACAATTCGTTAGTCGGTAGAGTTCACGCAATGCTGTTTCAGGGACACTCTTAGTGGTGTTATGCTAAAATGAGTGAGTGAGTATGGTTTTACGCCGCCTTTAGCAATATTCCAGCAATATCACGGACACCAGAAATGGGCTTCACACATTGTACCCATATGCTAAAATGAACGTGAATTATAGAGACACATAAGGAATTTTAACGCGCGACCGGTAAACCGCACTACTGAGTCAATATTATTGACAAAATTGTATAAATCTTTATAGGTTTATCTTGATAACGCGACTTAACTGGAGAAAAGACCACAAGGGTTCAGGGTAGAGGACACACAAATTTCTTTTGAAACATTAATTTTGTATATTTTGAAAGACAATGATAAAATTATTACGACATACAACTAAGCAATTTGCTGATGCTTTCAACAAAACTAACAAGCCTGCCAAACGCAAATTGCTTCGCGAACTATTGGCATTAATTAAACTTGTTGCATGTTAAGTGCCCCCTTCCTTTGTCAGAAAGCGCTCTTTTTGTATCCGCGCTTGCACATATGTGAGAATATTAGGCGTGAATGTCAATTATTAAACTTATGCATTGTGTATATATTGGTACGTAAGAACGGTATGTGCTCGTGTGAAATGAATTCATAATATATTGTATTTATATCATTGTTATTTGGTTCAGTCGTTATACATTGCCCCGCGTTAAGTGGGTGAGCGGTTGTACGCTGCGTTTAGCAATATTCCAGCCATATTAACAGTGGGGGACACCAGAAATTGGCTGACATTGTACCCAATGGCGTGATGAGCGAACGCTTAACCACCAGGTTCCCCCACATCCCCCGTGTCGTTATGTAAATAGCAACAAGTATTAAAACTATGTGGGGACGCGGAAGAATTGACCCCCAGCAAACTATATATGCTTGTCGTAAGAGGCGAATAACGGGGTCGGGTGGTCAGGCTCGCTGACTAGGTTGATGCATGTCATCGAATCTCAATTGCGTGGATCAATGCTCATGACATCAACCACTGGATTGTCTGGTCCAGACTCGATTATTTACAGACCGTCGTCAAATAGCTGGAATATTACCGCGCGCGGCGTTAAACAACAAACAAACAAACACACAAAACATTGTATTTTGTTACATCCCTAAAAATTCCCAAGATATCTAGGTGAAGTTTATTCTTTTGTAATACTTGAAATGTAGATAAATCTTTGAGCAGCCAAAAATATATTAATAAAATCGTAGCCGGTATTAATTCCCAGGTATATTGAAAAGTCCGAGAGAGTAATATCTATATATCCAAATATGTTTTAACATATAATGACAACTCATTCCAAAATCTCTTCACATGTTCACGGGATACAAAGAGATGTTTCCTATTTTCAGGCTCATGGACACACCCCCATGTCAGAATGAGGAGATCTGATTGGTCCACGTGATCTTGACAAAATACTATGTATCCCGCCTTGTTGGGAAATATATTTCTCAGCGGGAGAATAAATCCCTCATACCCCGCTTCGAAGCAAATAGCCGCAATCTTTTTCCGAGTCAATAAACGTTACGTGGCATAGAACAAGTTAACCTCAGCTCAGTCGAACAGCTGTTTTCTATCAATTTTGAATTTGTTTTAATTATCATCATCCATTCCATGAAGTCAACATTGTTGCAACCACATGCTAAGGTATTACCAGTCAACGACACACGTAAATGAGGAGACACCTGCTGTAGGTCATCTAAAATCTGTTTCGTGCGGGACTGAAACTGACTGATCAAGTTATGGGACAAGTCAAGATGTTGAAGGCGGGTTAAACCTTGCACTGAATGCGGGATGTCAGTTATCCCTGTGTTGGAGAGATTCAGACGTGTGACACTGCTCAGGTTGATGAAAATGTTTTCATACAAATATGATTGTATATTTCCAGATAAATCCAGATATGTCAGCTTTGTCAAAGGTTGAAATAGGTTTTCAGTGTTCGATCTTGTCAGATCCAATTGACAGTCTTTTAATTGTAAAATTTCCAGATTTGGCAGACTATGAAACATGTCGGGGGGAATGTGCCTCTGATCGGTACCAGAGAGATCCAGAGATTTCAGCGTGGCTGCTCCGTAAAGTTCCTTCCAAAAATCCCGAATCTGCAGCTACTAATTCAGTAAAGTTTGGGTTGTGAGATATTATGTGAATTTCAAGGTATATATACAATTTTATGGATAACAACTTCTTTAATACTGTAAAAAGCGACGTTTCGGTATAGATCCTTATACCGTTGTCAAACAAGACTTACTTGACTTGCTTGACAACGGTATAAGGATTTATACCGAAACGTCGCTTTTTACAGTATTAAAGAAGTTGTTATCCATAAAATTGTGTCTACCTTGTCATCGCTCAAATTCTAAGTAATGCCTATCAAACAATTCATAATGTGAATTGGACTGTAAGAAGCGTTCAGACGACCGAAGGGGTACATACCCGATATATTTAAGAAACGGACTGAACGAGGCAGAAGAATCCCCAGAGAAGGCTTGGCCCTGACGTTAGCGGGTAGTATGAAGTCTGTTGACAGGTTAGTTCTTCTTGGGTCACCGTGATACAAAGCTACAGGATATGATAGTGGCCAGAGCTCTCCTCTATCTATGAGAGACGTTGTTGTCCCGTGGTTTCCATAGTAACGACTTAATTAGATGTAGGCGATTTTCATCAGCAGTCAGCTTGTACAGTTTATTTCAATTTGCAACTTTTAACTGCAGAGTAGCAAATTTATTGTCGTTCCTCGCGTTGTCCATGAAGACTTTTAACTTCTTTCGGGCTTGAGGAACCGCCTCAGTAAAATCTTGTGACATGTTAACATCAATGGTCTGAGTTTGGAAGTTGATTTGAGGATATGACCTTTCATTTTAACGTGTTTGAGTGTGATCAGTACCGGGCCAGCACCCATTGAGCCGCACACTGGCGATGTCCACAGTATCGGGTATCTCCGGAGTGTTCCGTATCACATCACGGACTTTGTCTTCTGTTTCTGCCGGGGATTCGTCACGCGATTCTGGAATCTTCTGAAGAATAAGATTGTTCATCCTGATCGATTTTCTATGTTATCCAGTTTTTTTTATGTCGCGGGTCCTCGCCAACGATGTTATTGAGTGGACTGACGCTGTGAAGATGGTTTAAAAGGATTTATTCTCTGTAAAAGATATAAATAGGATCAATATGAATTGATGTTCAGTCGAGGGAGCGAGAAGGTCTTCCCTCGGCTGTGGCGTGACAAAAAGTGATATTTGAAAGTGTCCACGTCACACCCCAGGTATGTGCACGAGACACCGCTGGCAGGACAACCAGGAGTCGGAGTGAAGATGAAGCGTACGTAAAATAAAATAAAATAAAGATGACTCGTGGAATATTAAAATAACTTTAAATATATCCGGTGACTACGGGTGGCCCATAAGGGACATGGAGTCTGATTTTCCATATTTTGATATTTCACTTACTTTTGTCGTTACCTTTTGCAAATTAACACGATTTGTCTAAATATTTCCACCGCGGTGAAAACTATTTACACCGCGGTACACAGGTCGTTGCAAATGCATTCAATGTCAACGTCAGAACGATATATCGTTTGCAACAACGCCACAACACCACCGACGACCGACCGCGTAGTGGTCGTCCTAGAGTCACTACTCCCAGACAAGATAGGTTCATGATACGCCAACATCTGCAGAACCGATTCCGAATGGCCACTGAAACAGCTCGGCAAACCACTGGCAACCACCAGCGTGATCACCACCAGTGATCGTACACTCCGACGTCGCCTAACATCTCGTGCCACCGTCCTGCTCTTGTACCCATCCTGAGAGATCGTCACCGAGAGGCCCGACTGCAATGGGCCAAGCAGGATCAAAATTGGCGTCAACAGCAATGGAGAAGAATCATCTTCACTGATGAAAGTCGCTACTGTGTTTCAACGATGGATGGCAGAGTCAGGGTCTGGTGAAGGAGGGGAGAACGTTATGCTGATGCTTGTATTATGGAACGAGACCAGTGGGGCGGCCCAAGCATCATGGTTTGGGGTGGAATCGTTCTGAACCAGAGAGTGGGACCTGTGGTCTTTCAGAATATTGGTCCAGGCAGGGGTAATGGCATCACAGCTCTCCGCTACATTGACCAAGTTCTCAGTCCCCACACTGCCAGAGTCACCAGGGACGTTCTCCAGCAGCACAACATCCAAATCATGCCTTGGCCTGCCCTCAGTCCGGATTTGAATCACATTGAACACTTGTGGGATGAGATCCGACGCCGACTCAACGACGTACGCCCAAGGCCGACAACTGCAGCAGAACTGCGTGTAGCGTTCCTGAGGATATGGGCCCATATCCGAATGGCCTTCATCAACAGGCTAGTCCACTCCATGTACAGGAGATGTGTGGCTGTAGTCACCAGGTCACCACACCAGGTACTGATTTTGAACCCCCAAGCTGTGATGTCTTCTGGTGCCTCCCCAAATTCACAATTCGCAAAAACATTTCCCAGACTGTTAATTTCATGTGGGTCAAACACTGACTTTCTCCGATGTCTTGACTTACATATATAAGCACTTGAAAATATGATATTTATATGATACATCCACATGACGTTTCTTTTGCCTTTCAGTGTATATCCAATTTATATACCGGATTTTTTGTGTAGTCAGGTTCAATGAACTACATACTACCGGTGCGTTTCTTTTTATGAAGAGTGTAATACCCAAATCACAAATCAGATGTTTGCAACGTAGAAAGGACTTTTCAGTCTCCAACTTTATCGGCGAACTTGGTAATGTTCACTGTTTACCGGACCTCCCTGAAGAACACCCGGTCTAACTACCCGCTAGGAGGCGCCCGTTCAAAAAACATTTAGAACCACTAGTTATCAATTCGTTCGAAAAAAGATGTGAAAATGCAAAGATATTCGG